GGTTCTTCCGAGGTGGGATCTACGGTCTACGTAAGTATGAATGTGGGTGGAGGGAGGGGTGGTCTTCTATGAAAATTTAACAAAGTTTTTGCTTGAGATGGAACTTCGTATTATATTAATAAACAGCTTCGAATACGGAACTTCATTTGACGACGTGCTGGTTATGTTTAGATTGATTAGAAAATTGGAGGGCGAGATTAGATTAGGGTTTTCGTTCCCTTTATTTCGTGCACGGCGTTTACGTTGGGCGCTGGGCGAGCCGCCGTGTGGGGTTCGCGCCGATGAATTATGAGAAGGTGTAGGCGCTAGAAGGCTGGAAGATCTGCGTGTTGTGAATTACATGAAACTCGGGGCTCGTATACCCTTTCGTGGGTGTTTTGGATTGGGGGTTGGGTCACTTGTGTTTGGGTATGGGAAGAAGAGAGGAGAGAGAAGGGAGATGAAGCGCACGCGAGATAAATGAAGGAAGGGAAGGGATTGACCTGGGCCTGATAGATTGCGTAGAAACGGTGTCAGAGTAATGTCAGACTCGATATTAATATTGGTGGGAGTCGAAGGAGGGAAAGGGAGGAATGATAGAGTTCCATTTGTGGTAGAATTTTGCGAGGAGAACTTGAAAATTAATGATTGACGTTTGGATTTAGGCGGGGAATTGGTGATGGCCTGGAAGGTTGAAGGCGGGGACTGAGAAACGGGGATTGTGAAGTGTGTTTGCTAGTTCGATGCGGCGAACAGGCGCAATGGCTCAGGGTTGCAGGAGTGAATGCCTGGATGTCTGAAGTCGTTATTAAGGAGTGGGCCTAGCTTATGGCCCTCACTCGGGAGGTAGTACTATTCTAGTTACTGGGGCGTCGAGCGCTTGGCATCGAGCGGCCATACTCCGTTCGGGGATAGCACCTAGGCGGTACTACTCTTGGCACTCGCCTGAGGCCGACGAGCGCCTTTGTCAATACGGGATCTCAGAAATGATATGGAGAAGGAATGAGAATATACTCTATATATACCATTATCTATTATGCACGACAAAGAGATTCAAGTAGGGAGGGGACGCGAGAACCGCTGATCGTCTCTCTGGACGAAGTCTAATAAAGACTCACAGTGGACCGCAAGCATCGAAACGAAAGTATCAAGAAAACTATTGTCCTTGCTTTCCCTTTTTTAGAGTGCCTGCAATATTTCATTGATCTGCGCCGTGATTTCTTCTTGCACTAGACGTTGTGTGTTGCGGGTCCCCAGCAATTCACGTAGATGGTCGCCGTGCTGATCGGCTGGAATTCCGTTTTGTTCGTCTATGTATTTCAACGTAAATACTGAGGTCCGATCGCAGGATGTCAGTTGGAAGCAGGAATATGCGCGGGAAAGAGGCTACCCACAGTTTCTGACCGCTCGTCGGTGGAGCTTCAGCCACTCCCGCCTGGTCGAAAGTTGGTTGGAAAATATTGACATTAAAGGGCTGGTGTCGAGGGATCTCGAAACATTCATGAGTCTGTTCCTCGCCGACGTGTCTTCATCACGAAGTAGATTGACATGAAGGCCTTGAACAAAATCGGAAAGTCGGAGCCACTTCTTGAGAATTTCATCTTCAGGCATCTTGGCGTCATCATCAGGAAGAATTCCCTGGCAAAGACAGAAAGTTATTGCAGCACATTGACAAAGCGCATCCAAGGATACCAAACGCCAATCATTGGTCAATGTAGCCATTGGTTTGAATATGATATTGAGAAGGTCAATCAGCTTGACGATGGTTTCTTGGAAGCGTGTATCGTTGAAGAATTTTCTGAATGTTTTCGTCATGTTTTCTTGCTCCCGAAGCTGATGGGGGAGCCCGTGAATTAGCCAGTCCTCCTGAACTTGGAAGAGTGCTCCTATGCTTCCCAGAAAGCTTTTCAACATGCCGGATGTTGGGGCGCCGTCTGCGGTGCTACCCTCAAGTGACGATGCCCACACTGTAAAGTCTTAGTAAGTATGGCCTAGAATTGTGTTGAACTACAACACACCTAAACCTGGGCCCAACTGTCCTTCCATTGGTAAAATATCCCGATAATTGGTAGGGTTGAAAAGGCAAAAAAATGACTGTGTCACAAGCTTCTCTCCTAATGAATACTCGAGCGGGAGGTGTAAATTCTTTGCAAATTGAAGAAGGGCCACATGGGCGAGCACGTCGCTTTTTGGATGAAAGTGCGTGATGCCTGGGAAGAGAAAGAAGTCGGCACCGCTTGCCAATTGGTCGAGCCCTGGTAGGTGAATTCCCCTCGGCCTCCAAAGCCGGACTTTCTCATTCATGATCTTCATTGTTCCTGTGAAGTATACATGGAAACCGGTGGCATCTGCGTCATTGATGGGGAGACTGCGCTGAAGACATTGGAACACCAAGTCGCGCATGCCAGCGTCAGATGAGTGACGCTGGTAAAAATCCAGAATGCCTTCCAGCTGGTCTTGAATTGGTCCACGTTCCCAGTCAACGGGAAAAGTCTCTGATCGACCTATGAAGGTGGTGTCAGATATTACCCCGAAATCGAGATCATCTTGGGAGAGAAGGTGGAATGAGGAGAGGTGACGAATCGACACCCATTCGCGGTCAAGGTCTGTCCAATCTAAAATCAAATGGAGACCTTGGAGCAAGTGAGGTAGTTCAATTGGTTGAAATTTCTCTCGAAACCATTCTATAGAGACCTTAGCGATCCGTTTGATTCCGAGGCCAAAAGACGTAACAGGTCGATTTATGGGTCCAATTTCACGGGGTGGAACAAGCTTGTTAATAATCCACCTTCCCAAAGAATGAAGAAGCCACTTTGCGAAACGCAATACTTGTGCTTGAGGCGACTTGAAAGGACTGGGAAGGGGAATTTGAGAGATTGAGGTCGAGGTCCGTGAGGCCTGCGTGAGGCTGGAGATGGTGGGGATCGCGGTCGTTGCAACAATAAATATGGTGAAAAAAAGAATGGAGACGGCCGTGGTGATTGTGAGCCTTGTAATTTTTAGCGAAATTATGAATTCTGCAAGTCCCACGAAGAACAGGATGAGAGACATGATGATGATGAGTGGAAGGCCTGCAAGAAATGTATGTACATGCCACTTCCGCAGCATTTGCGATCTCATCTGAAAAACTGTGAATTTTAGTTCTGCCGACCACTCTTCTGGATATGATCGGTGTTCTCGGAGCCATTGGAGGCAGACAATCCCGATCAGAGATGACCCGAGACTTAAGATGAGGCTCAGCGTCCAGTAGATACCGATGCGAACTGATGGGGCTTCCGCAGTGAAAGGGAGATCCGGGAGTGGGGATGGGAGGGTCAAATCGGTGGAGTTGTCGAAACGCATAACAAGGCGTATAAGGAGAGCAACAGCCAGTTCGCTCTGATCTGGCTCTAGCATCTTGTAGGCTTCGACAAGAAATGCTGTGACAATGGCGGAGAAGAGAGCCGCCTTCCATGGAAATCTATTAGACAGTGTACACGGACGAGTATGCACCATAAAGTCTCACAAATATAAGAAGGTTCGCAACTTCGTCGTTCCACGCCTTGCATTGGGCAATGTCGTTTGCCTGCGCTGATTCGAAAAGCTTTGCCCAGGGGTCCTGGTTTTGCTGGCTCTGTTGTTCTTGATTCATTTGACGTTCTGAGGCAGACCCTTGATCCTGAGGGGTCGACATATTAGATGAAACGGAGAATACGTGAGGTCCTGGTACTCGAGAAATGATAGAAGTGGAGAGGAAGCTGGGGAGTGGGTTGAAGGCAAGTATAGTCCTCCAAGTCCCTCGAAAGCGGAAACGTGAAACGGTGTCGTCTGTCTCCTTGATCTGCCAAAGCGATGCCGTCAAGTGACATACGAAGAAAATTTCGACTGTCAGAGAGACCGAGTTCGTGTGAACCGAAAGTTTAGTGAAAGTCTGCCTGACATTGTCGGCTTGGCAAAGGGTGAGGCATTGCTCGATGGTTTTTTGTCCCCTAAAGAGACATGATTATATGGGCGCTAAAGGATAAAGCAGTCAATGAGTCTAAGAACAACAAAGGACGGTCTATCGAGCAAATATGTAGTATCAATCGAAGAGGTGCAAAGCAATACTCACGGAAAGACTCGCTGGTCATCACAGGCGCCTAATGGAACCGGAGGCGCGGCTTCATCACAACCCAAGGTTCCCACGCTGTCATAAGATAAGAAGAAACAACAATACAGGAAAAGACGCTCGAGCCATTTACATGTGTCTCCGAGAATGTGTCAATCCCAATGTCCATTTCGGATGTTGTGAAATCTATGAAGGTTCCTGAAAAAAAAAACGTTCCAGATCCAGTCCAAAGAGGAAGACATGCCTTAGCGCCCATAGAAGAGTCCATCAGAAAGACGCCTTATGAGGAGGGATTGTAGGAGTTTTACCACACAGGATCCATGCGTTGGACCCCAAATAGCGTTTGCGCTGTGGCACCGACGAGTATGGTGATATTGGTGGCGCTGGGCTGTGATAAGATTCTGCCCATACTGTCCTTGGCGAAAATGCGCTAAAATCAGCCTTGAGCGCTGAGCGCTTGAGGAGGGAGGTGAATCCCATGCAGCCACACGCGTAGCTTACACTTCTCAAGCTACGTTTAGAAAGCATCTTCAGAGCCTGAATAATTAATATTCGACAGAAATACCATGACTGTTAAAAATTGCTCGGAGGTAGACATTCAACACTCACGAAACGCCAAAGATACGCCGCAGACGTTCGTGAAGTACCAAATCGACCCTCCATCATATCATACAAACATAAGGAAGAGCCACTACGTACATAAGGCCATCCCAGAGAACAGATATTTGGGAAGGCCAGGCAGAGATTATGGAGGATGGAGAAGGAAGCGCCGAGTTGGTGATGGCCGCTTCTCAAAACTCTTAGAACCCTGTCCAGCTGATGTTTGGTGAATCCCCCGTGGTGATAGACTTGAGCTCCGTTAACTGGCTAGGTACGCGCTTGCTGACCTCAAGACCGATGGCGATAGAGCACGAGAAAGGAAGAGCGGAAGGATTGTCAAGACCTTGATCTTGGTCCCACTATACGAAGAAGACGAGTCACTGTTAAAGACAACGTTTCGCACGCAGCAGTCTGTCAGAGACTGACGGTTGGCGCAAGTATTCGCACTTGATTCGGGGATCTGTGCGATTGACGAAGAGAGAGGAGATGAACTGCGCGACCCGGTTAGACGACGTTCAAGACGAGCAAGTGTTGGGTGTCTACCCATTCTGATAGGACGAACCAACAGCCCATTCGCCTCCACTCCTTGTGCTGTACTTCTGGGGCTACCGCAACTCCAGCACATCAGAGAGCTAGATGAAGAGGACCAGTGGTATGGGTGTCGAGAAGAAGACCCTACACCGGGCCAGGCCGAAAATGGCTGTAGAGTTCGTGGGAAAACGGGGGATTCTGGCTTTTCGCTCACCGTGACGTTCTAATGGCAAGGTCTCCCCGAACGAGGACTCGTAATGCACTCTGAGATCTGAATATTGAATATTGAATCCCCACCTCACTAAGCCTCAGATTTCCTGATGCCTAAACTGGGACAACCGAACCATCGCAAAACTTCCAACGTCATCGTCATTAACAATATCAGCACATCTCACAAGAAAAGTTGTTGTCCGCTCCTCTTTCGCTCGCCACTCATGCCGTCTCTTCCCTCCGCCGCAAATCCTCTTCCTCGCATCGTCACCTACTACCAAACTCACCATGGCTCCGATGGCAAGCCCATCTCCGTCCTGCCACTTATCACTCAGCCAGGTATCGCCATAACGTACGTCATTCTTGCCGCTATCTATATCAACGCGGATCCCCTCAAGATCACACTCAATAACCACCATCCGTCGCACCCTCGCTTCCAAACGCTATGGGATGAACTACAAGTTTTGCAAGCCTCGGGGGTCAAGGTCATGGGCATGTTGGGGGGCGCAGCCAAGGGGAGTTATCAGCGACTTGATGGCAGCGACGAGCAGTTTGAGCAATACTACTGTCCTGTAAGGGATATGGTCCGCGACAGAGCACTTGACGGACTGGACTTGGATGTGGAGGAGGAGATGAGCCTGGGTGGTATTATTCGACTCATCGATCGGCTGAGGAGCGACTTTGGCAAGGACTTTATTATCACCCTCGCCCCTGTGGCCATGTCTCTGCTCGACTTCACCAAGAACCTCAGCGGATTCGACTACGAAGCCCTAGAAGTGATGCGCGGCCGCGACATCGCCTGGTATAACACCCAATTCTACTGTGGATGGGGCGACTGCAGCAACTCATTCATGTACGACCTGATGATCGGCAAGGGCTGGCCCCCGGAGAAGATTGTCGTCGGGCTCGTCACGAATCCGGCCAACGGTGGCGGCTTCGTGCCCTGGAACCCGTTGAGTGCCGTGTTGACGACGCTCCGGGGTCAGTGTGGTAACTTTGGCGGTGTCATGGGCTGGGAGTACTTCAATAGCCTGCCAGGAGGGAAAGAGCGGCCGTGGGAGTGGGCGAGGCAGATGTCGATCCTGTTAAGAGGGCACTTGGTTGCGCAGGATACGCAAGTTGAGACTGAGACCAGGATGAACGCAGATGAAGTCGATCCTGATGCGCCTGGAGGAAAGGATGTCGAGGTCCCGGCATAGTTCTAACATTGCCAACGGTTCGTACGCCGGGCATATTGTGGAGGAACAGGAAGGGTTCATCCATCCAGAATGTGTACGTCCATCCTGGTGTCCAAGCCCTTCTCTACTTCACTTACACGCATGTTCTCCATGCCGAAGTTGCATAGACTTGAATCTAACGTCATTCAATGAGGAGCTCCTTGACACCACAGTTCGAAGGCCTCCTACTTTACATCTCGGCAGGGTACTTTATGGCTCAGCGGTCAGGTGGTGTTGCGTTTCGTGTTCTTGTCCCTTTCTTCGGTTCAACCGGAGGGATGGGAGAGAAACTCGCATTCGTTCCCATATGCCTCGTTCTGCAATCTTCTCTTCTCGTTCATCAGATTCAGACGGACTAGTTCTTGATGGCCGTTTGGGAAGAATTAGAACTTGTCAAGTATTATCAGTCACGGAATATATTATATTACGAGCGAAACTCACTTTGTTGCACGATCTTCTGCCCCTCAACAAGGTATTCCCTAGTCTTTTCAAGTCTCTTTTTGAACTCTCCCTCCGTTGTGTCACAGATTGCGACAATTTCTTTCAGTTCAAACTTCCAGGAACCAGGTGGCTCAGGGGAAATTATATCTCTGTACACTGACTTGACCAAATCAGCGGTTTGATACCAGTCCTGCAGGCGAGCGATGCTCCAGCGGCGATCTTGAATAACGTCCTCGAGGAACTTTGCCTTTTCTTCTCCCTCGCTGGGCAAGACGAGCATCCCTCGACAGAGAGAAGAAGCAAACACAGACCACCGCAAGACCGCACCAAGAGGCAGCAAATTGTATCGCTCGCTATCGACGAACGCTTTCAACACCATGCGTAGGAGGATTATGAGCTGAACAGCCTGGTCGAACATTTTCTCTTCCCTGATGAAATTCTTTACGAGGGTCGTCAGAGATTCCTCCTCCTGAAGTAGGACTTGCAGGGACGAGCTGAGAGTCAGGCCCATCCTCATCGTTGACACGAAATGTCGGAAACACTCGTCGGACTGTGGCGGAGGTGGCGGTGGTGGTGACGGAAACTGGCCTGGCAATTTGAAGTCCAATGGCACTAATGGTTGAGCCTCTGGCACAGCGTCTGATGGTTGTATTGGGTATTCGTCGTGTGTAAACCTTATTCCTGAAACAAGAGACCTAGTTCAGTAGACAGAAACGCCAGGAATATGTTTGTCTGCACTGACCGGCACCTACAACTATGCTCGCCGTAGTTCGCTGTTCAAAAAGCCCGTAGTTCGTGGGGTCACAAAGCCGCAGAAACCACTGTGTCAATGGCTCTCTGCTGGCAGAAGTCTTGAAAGGAAGTTGGATATGATTTGCGAATTGAAGGAGAATCATGTCATACAAAGCACCACTTTCAGGGCGGTGTGATGAAACAAGCGCGCGGAACGGAGGATACGAGCGCTTTCGAGTTTCCAGTATCCCAAGAACACCTTCCAAATACTGCTTGAATTCGGGGTCGTTTGAGTATGGGTCCTTCAAGGGGATCGATCGTTGGAAGCATTGAAAGACCAATTCATGCGTCTCTTCCTGAGATGACTCACGGTCGGAAATGTCCATAAGACCATCGAGCTGATCTTGAATCGGTCCAAAGTGATAATCACCGGGGAACCTTTCGGGTAGCGACCGAAAGGCATTAGGTTTGGCACCGTCTTTGACAATATTGTAAAATGAACAGATTCGGCGGATTTGAAGCCACTTGCTGTCCACATGTGGCCATTCCGACGCTGCCCGAAGGTGCTTCAACAAGTCAGGGAGGGCCATAGGCTGAGAGTTTACGATCATAACAAACGCGGATTGGATCCTCGAAGCGATCGCGATGGGAGAAGCGTAAAGACCGACGATGAAGTGGAACGCTAAGCGGAATATTTTGGCTTGAGGTGACTTGAACGGACTCGGAACGGGAACTTTCGTTCTTGACGGATCCGTTTGCGATCCGTATGTGAGCGTCGGGAAAGTCGGTACGATGGTGGTAAAGATGAGAAAGAGGATGAATGGCGCGATGAAAACGATGGTTGAGATGGTGACGCTGGCGATCTCCAGAGAGATCAAGAAGTCGACGAGCCCCAAGAAGAAGAGCATGAGGGCGAGCATGATGATGAAGGGAAGGGAGACGAAGACGGCCGAGATGCGCCACTCCTTCAGCATTCGGGTCCTCATCTGTAAGGCTGTGAATTTCTCCTCCATCGACCACTCTTCCGGATACGCGCGATGTTCTCGGAGCCATTGGAGGGAGACGATGCCGATGAGAGATGCACCTAGAGCGAGGACAACGCTGATCGTCCAGAAAATACTAACACGAACAGAAGGAGAAGTTGGTTTGAAAGGGCTCGATTGGATGGGAGATGGGAGGGTTACGTCCGGCGGACTTCCGGATTGTAGAACAAGCCTAGTAAGGAGGGCGACCACGATCTGGTTCTGGTCAGGTTCCAACCTCCGGTAGGCTTCGAGCAGGAATGACGTAACGACGCCAGAGAACAAGGCCGCCTTCAAGAGGGACGCATGAGAGGTTGGAAAGATTGAGGGTGCGAGCACTCACGAAGATCAGAATGTTGTTGACTTCGTCCCGCCATACGTCGCATTGGGCGATATCATCCTTCTCCGCGAGAGTAAACAGCTCGCCCCAGTTGTCCCTGACCTTGGCTTGAGGTTCTGGCATCTGGTCTTGTTGTGCGGCGACGTGGCGCATATAGGTCGCTGTCGTGTCGGGTGAAACCGATATGTTATGCTGTGTCGGTGCAAATTGAGTCGATTCTCTAACAGCATCCGCTTCTTCGTCAAGTCGATGATCCATCATTGCGAGAGGAAGATAGCGCAAACGAGAGTCGAAAAGCGATGTTACCAAGGGGGAAAGCAGGCCCAGGCAGAACCCTCAGTTAAGTAGTCCACGGACGGAGAAGGTAGCCATCGTCGTCACGTATCAAGGGAATGCTGTAAAGCCTCATGGGTGGAAGTACTGTGATATGGGACCTTGGGCCTGGTACTAGCAAGCTGGCCCTTCATTTGAGCTTGATTAGCCGAGGCTTCGGAAATTGCTGTGACGGTCTTCAGGCTGCAACCTTCCGAGTCTTGAGAGTAGACGGGTATGAACAACGTTACAAAATTCCCAGCCCTCCGAAAGGTTTTGTGTTGGTCCTCGCAATAGATCGACCAGGAGGAGAGCCTCTGGTAGGTTCGGAAACATACAGATCTGCAGAATGCTGAGAAAAGAACCACCAAGCTTCAGAAAAGACCGAGTTCTTCGATGACGACATGAAAACATGAAGTCTTTCGACATCAATGCGGCGAGGATGTCAATCTTGGAAACAGGCGGACCTCAAAGGCTACGTTCATCGATAGTTGCTTCGTCTGTGTTGGAGAAGACCTGATAAGATTGGTAGCCAGATGATTAGGGCCCAGATCACGGCTGCAGGTCATTAACTCACTTTTCGAATGTGCAACGCTTGGGGAGGCACGAACGAAGAACGATCGTACACGACCGGCATAGCCAGACACATGCCTTCGCGCCGATTAGACGTGCATGTGTCTGCATTCTTCTACCCAAAATCTTGTCCCAAGGCGTAAGGAACTCGCAATGGAATACGTACATACCTGGAATGCAAACCTCGAGACCGGCTCGAACGCCAACGTCGCGCCGATGGCGAGAAATTCTCCAGCATTTTGACGAAGACGTGTTCTAGTGTTGTTCCTCTTCTGCTCACGCATTGAGGACCGCTGTAGCAGTTGGTAGGTATCATTGTCGTATACGATAGAAATACAGCGACTGGACCGTGGACGAAAACAAGAAACTGATCGCCCGGCAAATTCCGGCCTATCGGGACCACCGGGACCAATCATGAACCGGCCAGAACTGGTTCAATGTTGCCATTCATCCAACCATTCTCTTTCTCTCTGACTCCTTGATAATATCTATTCTTCAACTTGTTCTCTCTCTTCCTTTGACCCTCTTTGACCACGGTTCGTCAAATGCACCCTAGAGGTGTACATTAACGTGTGTTGGTGCGGGAATTAGGGATAGAAAGAGTGGATAGGCGAATCTCGATGTGGATGGCATGTTCTATGCGCGACCCTTCTTCTTTCCCAATGTTGCGTGAAAAACCTCATCCATCCCCGCAGGCTAGCTTCCATGCACATTCCCTCGGTAACCCTCTCAGCGTCGAAACTTTTGCGTGATGATCGATGATCGAGATCCTTGGTCGTCTACCTGTGCATGTCGTCACTACCCAGGTACCTCTCACTCTCTATCATGTTCTGATTCAAGAGCCCGGAGCCGCCATCTGGGCCCTCTCTTTAAAACACATTGGCGTAGCCGTCGTTTCTTCACAGCTGACACGCTGAACCTGGAGTATAAATTCAGACATCTCTTCGAGGGTGCTTCGTTCGGCTTCTGCCTTAATCCTCTATTCGCAATGTAATATTCGACTCATCCCAATGCTGCTGGTTTCCTCTTCGCTTTTTTTCTTCCTGTGCTCCACCTCGTACGCGTTCAAGAGCCTTGGGACTGCTGTTCGGTTGATCTCGGCTTCATATTGTACTCGCCGTAGCGATGTAAGTTCTCTCTAACTGCGAACGACGTACAATCATTACATCACGGTTCAACAGGTACTCCAATCGCGTGCCTTTGATACTCGGTAAAAGATTCTCGTCTCACCTTAGCATGGCTGCTGAGTTAAGTGGGCGTTCACAAGAGAAACTTTCCTAGGATCTGAGGCAGCAGTTGCTTGGCATCTGCCAGTGCCGGCGGCCAAAAGATGGTTCTGCGCCATGTTACTTTTTCTTGGACAAAGGCTCGACTGCAGGTGGAAGTTATTGTTTCCCATTTGGGTTTTCCGTCGCTCATCACATCTCACGAAGGCTAATGCCAGAGTTAGTTTGACCTCGGCCAATGTATGACATACAGCGACGGGAGAATGGTGCGTTTTGGAAGATTCTGCTGACCGGGATCAGTGCTAGTTCTCTACTCGACGATGTGGAAGAATGCTCTTGAGAGATCGAAGATATCTGTGCCACGGGCGCCAGGGATAAGGCCTGAGGGTCTTTACTGCGTACTCCAAGAGTACGTCCAAGAGTACGAATGGGCGTGTATCCTGAAAATTTCCTAGGACATACCTAACGCCGCCGTGGCAGCGTGATGGTTATTTTTGGCAGGCATGTTTGTTCAAGCACGACATACGACACCTGAAATTTATTTACTACAAATACCGACCAAAGTGAGTAGTCTGCAGAGCCGTCTGCGTCCAAGTCACGGGGCTGTTTATTGCCTGTTGGGCCTCTATTGACATACTATTGTACTCTGCGATATCCTCTTCATTGTATTTTCTCATTTCTCGTGTGCTCGAGGCTTTGTTCTCCGAGAAAAACTTCGAATCAAGCGCCTCTTTCGCGTCTTCGTACTACTTCCCCCTTGAGCGCTTAAAACTTCCTGATCAAATCCTCGTAATATTTTTTTCTTTCATGGTGACGCCGATAAGATAAGATTCAAAGGCCTTGACCTCGCGCTACACGAGCTTCATCGTTTAACAACAAGGTTCTGTCTCCCGAGTTTAGGATGACGGCGTCGGTATTTACTGAAGTATACATCGGCTAGATAATAAACCCATTAGGAGGAAGAACCTATGTTATGACGGAGCAAGTGCGGCCCAAGGTGCATTCGGTGGGTTCGTCCGCTCGACGCACGCCTTTCAGACGGAGTAGCCCCCACATTGACATTTTTGGACGTCGGCTTGTCCGCTGGGTTCTTCTTTCTCTCAGAAAGGGTCATAGACTCTGAGTTATCGGCCGATGCCCTAGCAAATTGTGAAAGCTCGCACTGGCAGTGCGCGAACTATGCAGTAAGATCAGGAGGAAAACTTTAATAAACTTCAAGAGTGAGTCTCATACCACTAGGAAAACCTCTTGGGCGTCCAACGACGATCCCTTTAATGAACGGGAATACAGGCTTCTTTAATTCCAGAGCTTCATATCCGTAATTAAGCAGGACAGAATTTCAAATGGATTGCCGAAAGCAAGTCGAAATGAAACTGTAGAAGAGCATTATTCTGCGGACGTACGACGTTATGAAGTCCTCAAATGTTTACATAGAGAGTGGTTTATGGTTAGACTAGGAAGAGTACCTGCCCGGGATAACCATGTAGGCGCTGGGGAAAGAGATTCTGGAGGCCGTCAGAGTCGGAAGCCTGGCGCTCGTTGTCAAAGTATCCTCTGAAGCATCGTCCTAGGACTGGAACACAACTCACAGAAAGTCTAGAAGTACCCGAGTCTATATCCAACATATGTTTGTGGAAACTATATTTATCTATGCCGATAAAAGACCGCTTTGACGTTCGTGGAAATGGCTAGGTTCACACCATAGTGATCAAGGATGCAGTAAACCAGGAAATTTTTCTAACCCTCGTCGCATCCGGCTATTTTCGTCTACGCCGCCCATGAGTTATGTGGGGTTGGCGTAAAAACTGGCGTGGTGGGCGGCGTACGTTAGCGTCCCCTAATGTCAATAAGTCTTTTCGACTGACCTTCTTTCTCCCCATCTTCGTATATTAATTACGACGTTCGACTTCGCGGCTATGAAGTCCTCCTCGGCGCCCCTCGATTTGGATCCACACCTCAAAGCAATGCTCACTTTAAAACCGAGCCTTGGAGTGGAATCTCCCCATATTGCTCCAAGTCTCACGCGCGCCAGCTTCCCTTTCTACGAAGAACATCCTGCCGAACGAGACAGGTTTTGATTTCATACGTGGCGCGAGGCTTTCCCGCCCGAGCCTCGTGTGATTCAATGAGGGCGGACAGCGGAATGGCACACTTTGACGGCATCTTTTGAGTGTTGTGTGCACTTCCGTCAGCCGCCCACCAAGTCCTGAATTCCCTAGCTATTGCGGAGCAGGGTCGCACTGACCTGCGATTATGAAGTCTGGCACGATTGGACAATGGATATCGATGAGGGCGTCTCTCTCCCTCATACTTCTTCACTCCCTCCTCAGTCTAATTCCTTGAAGTTAACGCCCATTCAACGCATATTTTAAGTACAAGGTGTACATGACAGCATCAATGCCCAGCCACTGTGGTCGTCGAAGCTCAGACTCCGGAGCGGGACTTGATCGGACATGAAGAGGAGGTTCTGTCGAATTCACACCTTCGAATTCACACTGGGGCATTGTGTAGACTGACACCTTCATATTCTCGGCGGAGCCCACAGCCCAGGCGGTGCGTGGATAAGAACGGGAAGAGGCGAAGAGGAGAAGAGAAAGTCCGACCTAGGCTTAAGGTGACATTCTAGCATTCGAGGGGAGCTCCCTTCATTCGTTCGTGATTCTCTTATAAACCGTGTCACTTTGCCCCAGGGAGCTTCTGGTGGAGGCTCCCGCGTCTTCCGTATAGCCTGTCCTTTTCCTTCGACCTATCCTTCCACTGCGCATCCCCGCCCCGTTTGCATGCCCCCGTGACGCCACGAGCCATTCATTCGTTCATTCATACGTTCATCGTCCATACATAATCCGAGCTTCGCGGTTCCTTCGTGGGCTATTTATCTCGCGTTACGCCATTCGATTATCGATTCCTCCCTCCCACCATGTCCGCATCTCCTGCTATGGTACCCCCCGGGGCCATGTTGCCTCCGAAGTTCGACAACACGCTTGGAGCGCTCCTTGTAGGAGGCCTGGTAGCGATGGCGTACGGCATTTCATAACATTATTTGTATCGTAACGTGCTCACGGAAAGTGTAGTCTATGGGGAATTACGTGCGTACAGACATACAACTATTACATGCGCGTGAACAAGGATCGCGTCTACCTCAAACTCATGGTGAGTACCTACGAATATCATTCTGCGTCGCGTTGTTAATTGCGTTGCAGGTTGGGTTCCTTTGGGCGCTGGACACGTTTGATTCAGCGCTGAATGGGCACATACTCTATTACTACATGGTCAGCAACTACTTGAACCCACTAGCAATCTTCAAACCCGTTTGGTGCGTCCTTTTCTGATCTACCGTCGTCGCTCCTCTTTCTGATTGTAACCCAGGAGTGTGATCGTAAGTTCCTGGGTCTTCAGTGGATAAAAAAATCTAAACGGAACCTTTTATCAGATTCATGTCGCTGCCACAGTAAGTGATGGGCGCCCCATGTTAACGCCGATACTAATTGTATTCTAGTCTATCTCGAACTTCTTGATTCGTACGCTGTTCGCTCACAGAATTTTCCGACGTAAGGTGATTATATAGTGAGAATGTGCCGTTTTGATTGACGCGTTTGGCAGTGAGCAAGGGAAACCTCCTCTTGACCGCTTGGGTGGTAAGTGTCAACGAATGGGAATTGTGGCTGAGCGCTGAGTGCTCACTTGATCTTGTAGATGGCCATTTCACTATCAGATCTTAGTAAGATAGGGTTTTATTTTTCCAGAATAACGTCCTTACAAACTCTCTACGTCTCCCAGTTGTTGGCATCAGTAAGTCGGCCTCTTGCGCCAACCCGCTGAAGTGAAGCGCTAACGCGATCTCTCGCAATATTTCAGCCATCACAGTGAAAGCGTATGTTCGAGTTTAATTCATGAAGGAACTCGAAACTCACCCAACTATCAGCTTCGGCATCCCATCTTTCCCTGATCTCGACAGGCTTTCGGTGCGCCACACTGCTGCGTGATCTGGGATAATTACCTATTCGGGCACAGGGTCTCATGTATACGACCTTCGCGCTGGGAACGGGTAGCGATCTTTCCGTCGCTCTTGCTCTCTCATGGTTGCTCTACCGATCGCAGACAGGCTTCCGCCGGTAAGTCCTTCTCACAGATAGATTTTTGATTGTCGTTTCGATCATGCTGACGTGCTCCGGTTTAGGACGGATTCTCTGATCAGGATGCTAATGATGTATACAGTCAATACTGGCATGATCGTCGCGTGAGTAAATTAATTAATTTACTAATAGCGTCAATGTTATTGAGGTTCGCCCTTCCAGCATTGACGCGTCTTTGGGGATGATCCTGTACATCGTCATGCCAAACAACTTTATCTTCCTCGGGTTCTACCTCTTGCTGAGCAAACGTGAGTCGTTTCTTTGTAAAACTGCTTTATGCTCTTCTCATGATTAACCGTCGGCAAAAGTTTATTTGAACTCTTACCTAGCAACGCTCAATGCTCGCGAGCTCCTGCGTGGCGAAAGGAATGGTGAAATGGTCTCGATCCATCTATCCCAAATATCTCAGTCAAGACGCTACGACGTTGAAAACTCGATTCCTACCATTGTCAACGAAAAGGTGCGTTCTTGCGGTGCATATTTGGCTTTTGTTTCCGGCTGAGTCGTCTACTGGAACAGACGAGCACAGGAAAATCAGAAAATACACTGGCAATTTCAATACAAACTCTGATCGACAAGAAGATCGATGATGGGTCGAATTCAGCCGTGAATAGTCCTCGAGATAACAGCCCTCGAGACGAGATACCCCGTGCGGTGTAGCCCGAACAATTGGATATAATTTGTGTAGGAGTAGGGAATCAGTCGTGCAAGCAGTCCTCGAAACAAAGATGTACATACTAGATGTCCATTGGCCAGTCCAATTCGAAAGCCGTATACCCAAATGGTGAAGAAAATGTCTTCCTCTCCGCTGACAACGGTGACATCGCATATGGATGCACAACCACTGCGCGCAGGCTGCCAGCACTATTAACCACGAAGTGGGTGTTGTACGGTCAAATCACAGACATGAATGCTTACCGAAGACCAACCTGAGTATTGCTCCTTGCGACAACACTACCCAAGACGAATACCCAACGCCCGTTCAGAAGGCAGGCAAAGCTGACGTCATCCCTAATATCTGATCACCTGGTCACCCCAAGCCCATGTGCGTGCGGTGTATTCTCCAAATATGCACGCCATCTAGACCTCAAAGGGCCGAACCTGCACAGGTTCCTGTCACTTTCTTCCGGTAAAGCACCCCCAGGATGGAGCCTACCGTACCCCACGCCTATCACGGAAAGTTGCCTTTCTCAGAGACCAGAGAGCCGTGGAGATCCGTCAGCCAAATTCGCTCAGTTTCCTTCCCCTAACGCCCACCACCACCTCCAACTACTACAGAATCTCGCCGCTACCGCAAGACCAGACAGAGGATGGACCTCGCTTCCCCGTCCATGCCTCCACCATCGATCCTCTTCGCCTCCTTGCTCCTCATCTCGCATCTGACGGCAAGAGGCCAGGCGCGGGCCGTTACGTTAACCCACACCACCACGGATAGTGATATGCACCGGAGCTGCGCTTTCGAGCTGAACGGCAGCCAGTATGATTTGTGTTCCCTGGTGGGATCGAGGAGGGTTGTGGAGGTACCGAGTGTCGATGCCGATAAGGATAATCGAGGAGAGGGATCGAGGTTGAGCGCTTCCCGACGGTTGTATGAAGTGACTCTGGGAGGACCGGGGCTTTCGGATGATCGGTCGGTGATGACCCCTAATAGAGAGGTGAGCGTCTATCGCAATGTCGGTGCTGTTGTGTTCAGCTCAAGGATTGTTGTTGCTACAGGACACTGCCTGCGACGACGAAACCTGGGTCTGCATGCTGGGTACGTCGTTACCCCAATCCCGTCCTGCCGACTGGGAATTCCGGGCTATTTGTGAAGCAAGAAGCTCACGTCTTCCACGAACATGCGTGCAGATATGACATATGCTCGAAGCGAAACTGCGATTGGGGTCTCTGAGACTGAATCGAGGAGCAGGTTATTCCGGGAACTGCGGCCAATCTCCATTGCGAAGATTGCGCATGGGGCGAAAGTTAAGTTCACGCTGGATGTTGATAAAGATGACGAGGGTCCTGTGCCCCGTGAGTGAGTCTTCGAGGGGGAGAAACAGTGGCGACTGACTGGCGATCTCAAGGAACTTCGCCTTTACGGCTCTTTATTGGAGGAGGTCGGGACGCTAATGATCGGCCACAAGTAAAGATCGACCTGCTTTGCCACGAAGCGGATGAGGTGACTTTCCTCGGCGAGGAGCGTGGCGTACATTCATTCATCTGGGCTACTCCACATGGATGCCCCATACGATCAAGACGTGATGGACATTGGAAGGCGGCAATGATGGACGAAGAGGGAGACGATACGACAAAACCTCCGTCTGACGAAAACGAAGGCGATGGCGATCTACTACCAAGTAACAATCGGAGGTCGAGGCGGTGGATAGCTGCGATCATCGTGATCTCTGTGTAGGTCCTTTTTTGCTGTTCAAGACGAATTACTTACGGAAAAAACCGTTGAATCCAGGCTCAGCGCGGCTTGTGGCTCCATCCTCTACTCTTCCGAACGTGCACGACGTTTTACCGCCGAGCATGTAGCAAGCGCCGCGCATGCATTGACGCCTCTTCTCTCGATGGCCGCCATCAAACTACGACCAGTCGCACACCTTGTAAGCACAGTGACGACCAAGTCTATCTCGCGACTTGGGACTCGCTTTCGAGTAGGCGACAGCCAGCTCGTGCAGTGGGCGGAAGAGGATATGGCACTCGACGATTCAGAAGATACGATGGTGAACGGTGGAGGGGCTTACGATCCCTATGAACTGGATCGGTGGCGCGGGGACGGGTTGGACGAGTACATTCCGTTAACCATCAGCCCGAAGTACGGTAGAGGAAGGCGAGCCCGCTCGTATGGATCAACGCCGGATGTTGAGACGTTTGCAGAACGTGGATTGGCAAGTGGAGGAATCGGGAGATTTTTCCACAAGTGATGGACGGCGGTGCTTTGGCGATCTATGACGGACTCCTTTCCTTTTTATGGGATTAATGATTTCATCCTCATGACCTTCTCTGTCTCTTCTCATTCCTGTAGAATATGTAGGTTTCTTGTATTGCTGTGATAGATGATTTTGTAACATCCTATGTAATTGATGACAACTTGCCTAAAATCAGAGCCGTGTGAGTTTGTTGCCTATTTTTTTTTTTTTTGAATTGTCTTGAGCAATTTGAAGTCTGCGGTGCACTGAGCGACGATGTTGACATGAGCGACGGGTGTCGAAGTGAAAGTCGTGCACAGCTCGGATTGGAAGTTAGACAAATTTTAGAACTCTGAAAGCGCGACGCGAGCTGGTCATGTGACCCTCCTAGCTCTCCGTGTTTTTCTCTAATTTTCTCCCCGACTAGTCACTACTCCTACGACCGACAACGTCGTTTGAGCCCTTGAAGCTTGAAGACGAATTTGCCAATCAATGCCTTTTGTATCGAGTGCCTATTATCCTCCAAGAACTGATTTATGTCAAAATTACTATCAACTCGTTGTCCGACGGCTTTCGGAAGTTGGGGTGAAGTAGGAGCTGAGACGAGAATGGTAGGTAAGATAAAAGGTTTTCATTTTCAAGTTAACGTACTGTCCTGATACGACCTTCTCTTCACGGCCGGTGACGCGTGACATTTGTGAAGAGATTTGCAACTCTTCAAACTTGGACTGGACGCGTGACAGAAGCCAAAAGTCTTCGAGAAGTTGGACAGAATATTTCCATTTATGGCATGCCCGAACGCCCCGCAGGGACCGAAAATTTGGTCACTCTTCAAATTGCCTCGGGACGCGTGACATTTCTCAAGATCTCTTCAAAGCTCTTCGTGACGCGTGACAGAAGAGTAGGTCATATCAGGACAGTACAGTGACATAGAGTGCAGCGGTCGTGTGGTCTAACACCACAGCAATGATGACTTGCCCGAGATTCGACATGCTATCTGATGTGGGCACCTTGTCCCGTCCTAAGGAAAATTAAATTGTGCCTTATAAGACTGTGGGATTGTAATGCCGACTTTCGGCATTGTGATGCGCTTGTAACCGATGTGCTGTGCCTTACAATTCCGTCGAAATATGATAAGATAATGATTGCGATCGTGAGATCATTGATGCCTTGTGATCCTCCGCCCTCACCTCGCGATCTCTTGCGATTCGTCGTCCGTGCCAAAGATTCCACAGCGCGGTGTCTTCCTCTCTCTCGCAAACATCTACCTTCATGTCTCACCACCCAAGAAGAGTACTCGGAAGGCCCTGGAACCGAAATATTGCGACAAATGCCAAAATTTCATATCTGCAAGAGGTTTCACAAAGCATTATAATGCTTGTCTTTCCCGGAGCAGCGCAGGGAAGGGTATGGGAGTGAATGAAGCAGAGGAACGACTCATTCAACGCACTATCACGCTAAGTGAGTCAATAAAAAACTGGGAAACAAATGAGTGCCTAACTTCCCTCTTTCAGACACGCTGCAGACAAGTAACCTACAGCCCCAATTTCAATTGGAGCCGCCGTTCGTGCAGGGGAGCTCCCATGATGGCCCTCAATCCAGTAAGTCCAACCAGTTTCCTCGATGGATTAGGCACTGAGGCTGTTAAATCAGCGGTTGACGAAGAATCTTTCCCTGACTATGCCAACGAGATCGACACGGGAATGGAGTCACCGAGTATGTGCTCTTCCAGTTGGAGAGGTCTGCCCAGTGCTGATGAACTGTTGCAGATCACCCTGATGTTGACCAAAACGAGGACAAGTCTTCCGATGGCACCTCGGACATCCAAGAGCATGAAAAAGATGATATTAAAATTCAATACCACCTGAAATCTGGCAAGCCAGAGGAGATTTACCACTTCCATGAGTACTCACCTACCAAACCCAATAATGTTGACATCCCAGTGGATACTGAGCCCTGGAGACCCTTCCATACACAACTTGATTTTGAACTTGCTGAGCTAATGCTTGACACGCACATGAATGCAACTCAGACAGAAACTCTTCTTTCGCTAATTCACCAATGCATCAAATGCCCAGATTCCCTCACCATTTCAAATATGAAGGATCTCAATCGTGTTTGGGAACAAGCACGCAAAACTTGTGCAACAGGGGTAAGACAACTGATCAATATCAACTCCGCTTCCTCCTGCTAATCTGCCATGGTTGTAGTTCACCCATGAGACTATCAAGGTTGACTACAAAGGAAATGACAAGGTGTTTGAGGTTTCCACATGCCCTCTCTGGGATTGGTGTTTCGATCTTGTCTCAGATCCCCATGTTGTCTCTCAATTTCACTGGGATGCTGAGCGCTATTATAAATTCGATGGGAAGCGCACATGGGTGCGCTTCATTGATGAACCTTGGACAGCAGATGACTGGTGGGACATCCAGGTAGTTTCTAATCTATCTCAATGTTGTTCTGCAAATTAAAATATTATTTTCGTGTCCAGTCACAGCTTCCGGATGGTGCAAGCCCTATCTGCATTATTATCTATGCTGATAAGACACAACTTTCATCATTTGGTACTGCCAAGGGATATCCTGTCTTGGCAAGATGTGCAAATCTCCCAACTGATGTATGCAATGGAGAAGGGAAGGCAGGAGGGAGACTTGTGGGATGGCTTCCTATTGTTTGTATTCTTTGTCACCTTCTATATAACCTGCAATTTTAATCCCTATTTTATTTAGATTGAAGAGGATGCTGGCGAAACTGGCAAGAAAGGAGATGTCAACTTCAAATGAGTGGTTTGGCATCAGGCCTTTTATAAAATACTTGAGTCCATTGAACTATATGCAAAAACGGGCTACTACATGCAATGTGGTGATGAAATTTTGCGGTGGCTTTTTCCTATTCTTCTGATCCTAAGTGCTGACTACGAAGAACAGTGCATTTGAGCTATATTTATTTCAGTATTTTTTCTAACACACTGTGAATGTCTAGATGTGTTATGGCACTTATTCATGGGCTCAACAGCAAGGCAGCTTGTCCAATTTGTTTAGTTCCTGGAAAGGAGCTAACAAATTTATCTACTGACTTTGAATTGCGAACAAAAGCAAAAATGCAAGAGATCTATAATGAGGCTCAGGAATTGAATGCTGCTGAAGCTGAAGCAAAGCTAAAGAAAGTAGCTTTGTGGGATGTTGAGGTGTGTTGGCTTCATCAACTATTTCTCAATTAATGTCTAAACTCTGATTATATATAGAATATATTTTGGTGACTCGAATATAGTGATCCTTATCGTGCTCTCTCCTGGGATCGACTTCATGCATACCATGGAGGCCTATTTGCTGATCACATATGGACTGAATTCAAACATATTATTGATGGAATGGGGAAAAAGACTGCAAAACAGGTTGACACTCAGTTGGTTTCAAAGTTTCTCATTCATTTATTCATTGTACATTGCTAATTCTTTTTGTAATAAAAGGGTTGATCAAGTTCCACGCTGGAGTGGATTAAATCATTTTTCCAAAATTATGAAGATTGAATTTACAGATGGACAGAAATATGAAGACATTGCAAAGGTATGATTTATCATATTGGCTTTGGAAATTTTAATAATTATATTTGGAAAGCTCATCATGTTCTCATCATTTAATTTATTGACACCAGATGTCTCAAAGGAGGGATTTGCCCTTCTTGGACTTCTTCGTGCCTATCTTGAATTCGACATGTATACTTCTCTCTCTGTTCATACAGAGACTACTCTTAAAGCTGGAGAAGAAGCACTTAAAATTTTTGAAAAGGCTCTTCGGGTTTGTTAATTCATTGGCTCATGAATTCATTAACATCTCACATCTGCATAGGAATATATCAATAGCAGTGATCTTCCTCCAGAGTTGAAAAAATCTTGGAATTTTCCCAAGGCTCACACACACAAGCATGTATTTGCTGACATTCTTTGGAAAGGGGTTACCCAAAACTACAATACAAAGCCAAATGAAAAGGCACACTCACCTTTGAAAGATTTCTATCTTCTTATGACAAACTTCAAGAATTTTGTTTCACAAGTGAGTGATTTCTTCATTTATTTAGATGAACAACTAGACATCACTTATTTACAGATCTTGCGGCTCAATGAAAATGATGTGGTTGCCATCATTATTCGTGAAGAATTGGATATGCTTGATAAACATCACAAGAAACAGAAGGAGGCCTTGGATCAAGATAACATCGCTCAGACCATCATTGGAAATAGTCATGTTTCTCTTGGCTCAGTCCAGAGCTCTATGACTATTGGATTTGTTGAACAGCGCCACAGGGAAGATCCAGCCTTCAAGAATTTCAGAAGAGAACTCTCAAAGGCTCTGCCTGGAATTCTTGGTACTGGGAGGCGGATTCAGCTTGGACTTCAGGATGAGGAATGACCCTATCTTTCTTCTTGCATGTCACCCAAAAATTAATCAATTACTTAGATTATACCATATCGACTTCTACGGGTCACTTATGAATCAAAAATTGACTGGCGATCAAAGACAGATCTACTACGAGTCAATCCACATTTCCATGGCAAGCCACATTACGACTATGCCATTATCAATGGTGGAGAGAACAAGTGCTTCTTTGCACAGCTCCTTTACATGTTTGAAGTCTTTGCTGGGAATGGACCAGAACACATTGCACTCATCTTACCACTGGATGCTACAATTCCACAGGCAGAACATGTTGCAAGTGATAAGAAATTCCATTTCACCCGCCTTTGCTCTCGTCCCAGGTCATTGGCTACATTCATCCATGTAGATTTAATAATCCGTGGAGCAATGTTGATCAAAGCTCAGGACTGTGAGTACGGGGATGAATTTTTAGTTTTTGATCTCCTTGATGAGGATCTTTGGTGGAGAATGAAGTCAATTCGCCTTACACACCTTGTGTAGCACAGAAAAAAGGCATAATTATTTCAGTTTGTATTGCATAGAGCTACTCTTTGATAAGATGTACAAATGAAGCTGGAAACAAAGACTGTTGTGGCAATAGAGATGAACTGGATGGACAGAAGAACATGCTTGCTTACTGACAGAGAGTGATTATTCCTGATAGAGAAAGGAAACAAAGAGAAAGGAAACAGAGAGGAAAACAAAACTGGGAAAGCAATGTGATGATAGTAAGGAAAAGATAAGCTGAGGAGAGGTAATGGCAATGTAAGAAAGAAAGAGGACAGGAAATAATGATACCGAGAGTCAATGATGATGAGCAAGCAAGCAATGTAAGAATTGTGACATGTTTCATAGACAGTCGGTACGTGCTGAATGGGAATGAGTCCATTGACGAGCACTTCAAGTGGCTTGTCGTCGAGCTCGTGGCCGAACTATAATCATCCGTGCCTGAACCCCCATACGAGGAGTATGAAACAACAGACAAGGGCGGCTTGCTCACCGACTCGGTGCTCATCCTACAGTGCTTCGTCGAGCGTGGGTGGCCCATCCCACCAAGGTGGTCCATCTCATTTCCACTGGAGGTGTCAATGCCAGCAAAGGGAGAGCGTCTGACAGGAGGTTGTAGAGCTGCATGAGGTAGTCAGGGTGGTGCAGCACGGGGTGTTGACCGAGCTGGAAAGGGTTGTGGAGGCTGTTCTGGGAGCTGTTGGCGGCAGCGGTGGTGCTACCGCCAAGCACGCAGAGGAGCTCGGACAAGCTGGAGGTGGTCCCCCGGAACTCGGTGTCCTCTGAAAAGTCGTATGACATCTGGGTGTTCGAGTCAGGTGCGAGGATGGGGAGGACTCACGGTCGGCCCCTGCTTTGGCACCATCAGCATTCCCAGCTGAATTGCCTCCACAACACTCATTCAATCTCCTCCCTCCACCCCAAGACCTTTAAGCCTGAGGTGTGGGGCTTGTAGGGGGTTAGGGCAGCAGCTGGGCTGGATGGCACAGTCGAGTTGATAGGGCTGTCGATGCTGGAATGGCGCCTGTCTGCACAGGTGGTAGTCAATATTGGATAGTAAGTGCCACTGTCCACATCTTAAACACATCTGCTTACCTTGTGTTGCAGAGCTTGTCACCAACACCACCACAATGGCAAGAAAGGACACGAATCAGCGCAGATGTCAGTGCTGGTAGCAATAGTGCGAGAATTCTGAATCGATCTCGTAAGTGTGCCTCTCCCATTAAAACACATGTGAACTGACCTTGATTCTTGAAGGATGGCTTTCATGTACGGCGTTCTCATAGATGCAGGGCACGAATTGTTGCTGTCGAGGTTAACAGAGGTGTGGACAGGCTGTGACAAGCTGCAAGAGGTGGCGGACATGTGCTGGGAATGCGAATGTAAGTGGTCTAGTCATTGCATGTCGACAGCGAGATACTTACATCAGTCAACAGCTAGTCATCTGACTCTTTCCCTCGTCGTCAGCCATAGTCTTCACTGCCTCTGCTGCAAGCGTGGTCCGTGTCTGTGAAGGAGAAAATATCAATTGAAGGCTCAGACGACTTGGGTGGGTGGGCAGTGCTTACCTCGAGTTCATCATCATGGATATTGTGGCAAGCTAGAGAAGAGAAGGTCAGTGTCTCATACTCTCAAGTACGTCCTCCTACTTACCTTTCATCTCAGGCCATCATAGGCGTGTCGGGCACCTGCAGACGGATGTTGCGTCAGACATTGACCACAGCCCAGAAATGGGCACACTTACCTCGTGGGTCATGCCGTAGCCTGTCACTGCGAGTAAGGTCAGTGCCCGCCGTGTTCTAGGACAATGAGGGACTTACCCATCGTCAAGAGTATTACACTGCAGGTGCCCATGAGCAAACATCGATGAGAGCAAAGAAGAGGAACTTGCTGTCAGTGAACAAGAGAGGAGAGGAGAGGAGGGAAAGTGGGGTGGTGATAGGATCCCACAGCGGCTAGGCGAGTGTCCAAATAGGCAAAGACAAGAGAGGGGAAAGGAAGAGTACATCCTCGTGTGCGTTGTTGGGGTGGTGCACCTCGTCTGGGTGGGGTTCTCAACTCTGGACCAATCTTGAAAGGAGAAGACATGGGGGAGGGAGGCGCAGAGGTAGGGTATACGAGAGCGCTGAGGCAGAAGATGCAGGGGGACAAGTTGTTTCGCTTGTATGATGGGCGAAATGTGTTGACTGACACTGGGGCTTGCCAATGGAGTATCCTAGGGCCCAGCGCCAATGCCCTGCCCCATGTCGTACTTCGAGTGCATGGCCGAGTAAGGAGAGATTGGCGAATGACATGAGCAGAGAGGGGGGGAGTTGAGCCGGAGAGAACATTGAAGGTGGCAGAGAGGTAGTTGAGGGTGTAGAGGTGGGTATGGAAGGCAAAGACGCGAACGTTGTAGGTAGTCAATGGCTTGAGTTTGCGCTGAGATGGGGTAGGATGTGATAACGCTGTTGCAGATTCATCAACGTGGGCATGGCGCAGAGGAGTGCAGAATGGCCAAACAAGTCGCTGAAGAGGCTTAGGATGTGAACAGAGGAGGCGGTCGGCTGGGAAGCGGTGACGCTGGCAGTGGTATCCTCACAACATGGGCCTCGTGTGAGGCAATTTCTTCCAGCCTTGACACACAACAACCTCCTGATGTGTAGGCGGTCCTGTTGCCCCCTCGTGTTATTCAATGCCGCAAAAAAAAGCCGAATCCTCACACCTTGGGTGTTGCACCCCTCCACAACGTGTCCATGCTTTGCTCGTGGTCGCAGACGGAGCAGATGCAGTTACAGACAACGCAAGTCGGCATGTACATGAGGATCCAGGAGATAAATAGGGATGGAATCTGGAGGGGAGACCGTTTGGGACCCTGACCCTTGAAGGGAATGATGACAAAGATGTGCTAGGTAGTTGAAAAAGCGATTATGAGACACGAAATGCGGAGGAGATGAGTGCACACATACCTTTGATAAGAAATGGTGTGTAGATTGATGTGAATGTGAAGATGGGAAGGGTGATTGAGAAGTGGGTGTGATGATGATGGTTGGTGGACCTCCCTCACACCCTGCTCGCTCGTACAGGTGTTCCACAAGCTCAGGCACGCACTCGCTGCACATTGGTGGACAAAGGTGACACGTTGATGAACCAAGACTCTAATTCAAATTGGTAATTTGATCTAAGCGAAATCTGAACTTACCCGTGCTCTTGTCCATCACTCCCTCGTGTACCTCAACGACAATTCTCTTAACCTGTGTCACACATTCGAGCTCCCTCATTTTTGTCAGCAACAGCAACTTTTACGTTTCTCCTTTTGCCGAACATGTCAATGCTGCGCCTCTGAATCATTCTCAGGATCCAAGGGGAAATCACAGCATCTACAAGGTGTGTTTCCGTTTGTTCAATGGCCTGGAAGGCCTTATCATCCATCCTAAGAACAGGGTGCTGGCCTTTCATATCTTCATTTGGTGATATCTGGAGAGATGCCGCTACCTCACTTGACGATGATATTCGGTCAATCTATGTGCCCACGGACTTATGTACATGGTGAATGAGAGTTTGTGGTGATGGTAGTGGTGAGATCCATCTAAAGGTTGAATTACCCGTACTGACGACTTTCTGCAAGGTGGCAGGCAGTGACCATCTGTCCAGATGCTCTCTACGTCTTTGAGTCTCGCCTGCACCCTTGAGATCATCAGAGAAGGAGCAACACTTACAAGAAGGGTTAGGACATAAGGCAATAGGTTCGTCTTCCTGCTTGTTTATGTTACTCCATCTTCCTTGTCTCTTTTATGTTCTTGTATCGTTCCCCTCCAAACTGATGGCTTTTCTCCCCGCCCACCTGAATGCTAAGAATGGTGCATGGTCACCCTTCCCAGACATCCACTTTGATACCATTGCAGGCTGCCACACTTGAAGATTCGATCCAAAACCCTATTTAAACCTGCCCTAGTCTGCTGATCGAGGCAGCTCTCATTCCGACTCCCAGCTCACCTACATGCCTTCTTCAACGCCTGTGACCTCAATGCCTGTGACCTCCTCCACTCTGACAGAGTCGACGCTGATTGGTGTGACTCACCACAGTCCACTAGTACAACAAGCTACTGAGCTTGAAGGTCGACTGGAGCTTGCAGCTGGAGGGGCTCTGAACCTGACACTCGTTCAGGCAGTGAGTCATGACTTCTTTGAATGTTTGACTAGTTTCATTGACATAGTATCAATTAGGCTGTCCGTGACGCACAAATCTTGATTGCACAACTGAAGGATGAAGTTCGAAAAATGGGAGCGGAAATTGCCAACTTGTTGCTCTCTCAAGACAATCCATCTCACAAAGCCGCCATCAACCAGCTCACGCGCGAGATCTGTCAACTCGCCAGTAGTTTCCAGTTCCTATACTCGCCATTTGTCACCAAAGCTACCTTCAAGGATGGCATGACCAACCCTCTGTTCTTGCACGACGACCCCATCCGCTATGTCACTGACAAGAACGTCGAACTCGGAATTATTGCGGAGCTCTTTCACTGGGTGTCTGCAAAATTCCACGAGTGCATGGGAGCAGGATCTGCATTTGCGAATGTCGTACGTCATTCTGGTTTTATAATCTCCATTATATGTCTAACTTACCTTTGACATTGCCTTAGTTTGGCAGTGCAATCAGCTCTTCACGTTTGCTGGCCTTCCACCAAGTGCGGGAAGATATTCTAAGTATACTTAACAATACACAATTTGAGGGATGCATTGATCCTGCCTCAAAGGCCATCAGCACCTCATCTCTGGCCATACTGGAGCTTCTGGGTTGCACTAAGCCAGGAGATTCACCGAAGAGCTGCAGCCTCCCACCAATTCTGTACAAGGACTTCAACGATGGAGTGGCCATGGGGCTATTCCTTAATTCTATTCTTATCACGGTGAGTCTGCAGATCATTTCCATCCATGACAGCGAGCGCTGATCTATCCTACTCATATCTAGATTGCCAGAGTGATCATATATGGCCCCAGGATGGGTCAATCCTCCACGGCCCGCCTCAAATCCACCAGCCCCTTTGTACGTCCAGGCCAAGTCATGTCGATTACGCCTGGTGCAATTGCATACACCACAATCCTTGTACGTTTCACACTGATAGTTTTTCCATTGTGCTTAGACTTTAATTTCTAGCTGTGGCACCTTCTTTCAGGTGACACCGAGTTCACACTCACCAGGGTTGGGAGCACCTCGAACATCAACTACGTGGCTGACTTCGAGATGTACAAGAAGCTCATCATCCAAGCAAGAGATGGAAGTGGCACCGGCAAATGGCACTGACACCTATTCTGTGAATGGAACAAGGCCATCTTTCCTTCTGCCAAGCCAGCCAGACAGCCCCTTGACAAGGCAGCCAACTCAGATGACGGAACCGAGGACAAGATTGCTGACGCCCTCTACCGTATGGAGTTGGAAGGCAGCGATTCTAGTGAATCGGGTGGCTCAGACTCGGAACTCGACGAAGAAGAAGGACATCAAGGATCAAGACTAGCCATGCCTAGTGCGGCATCGCGTCCCTCTGCAGCCACTACATTACACCACATCGCACCTACTGCATCCACCTCATGATCTGCTACCAACATGCTGGCACCCACATCCGCCACAAGCGCTGCCCCACGTCCTGCCCCGTGTCCTGCCCCGTGTCCTGCCCCATGTCCTGCCCCATGTCCTGCCCCATGTCCTGTTCCATGTCCTGCCCCGTCTCAACACTCGACTCGGGCACCATCTCCCCAGTTGCCTGAGCCTCCCACAGTGGAACGTGCATCAAGCTCTGGTCCATCTCGAGCTTCTAGCACCCTTCCACTCCCCGTCAATCCAACTTCCGCTTTGGATCTAGGACCTGGTTCCCCCTCTTTCAGCTCAGATTTGACCGAATTCGACGACAACCTGCCAGCCCCTGCACCCGCGAAGAAGAAGAAGACTTCCAGAGGAAAGAAGACATCTGAGCCAGCACCGGCCATTGACCGGACTCTGCAGTCAGAAGGAAAGGGGAAGCAGCGGGTGTAAAGTAGCAGGTTTCGTACTTCTCTCTCATGTTCTGTAGTGCAATATGATTTCCCTGTTTGTAGACCCCAGTTCTGCCTTTTGGAGGGAATATTCATTGCCAGGCATGTTGCACAGAGCTCGATAGAAGAATGAAGCTTACTTCCTTCACTGTCCATATGCTTGGGATATAGGGAGGTCATTATATTACCTATAAATCGTCAATACGGTGAAGGGGTAACTATCGCCAATATTATAATCATTAGGTAAGCTTATAAGCGCAGAGTTTGAATCCCATAGACTGCAATTACTGATCAGGCCTCCCTACAGACTCGAAAGAATAGCAATAGTACTAGACTAAGTAATTATGAAGGACGCAACACTACAACCAAATAGACTACTGTAGTAAGGTCGTAGGGTAAGGTTGCTATTGTAGACCGTCATTGTAGACCCCAGTACAGTGTAACAGCACTCCTTGATACAGGCTAAGGTTATCTCCGATTTTAAAGGCAGATAGGTCACTCACTGCAAATTAAAGTTGATATTATTTTTTCACAACATATTGCAAGTACAGCTGCCAATTTTCAGCTCAGTTGGCCACGATTTGGGCTTACAATACGTCTCACAAGGAAAGGCAGCTTTTTGATGGCGAATCACTCCTTGATACACCTGCATCACCGCTAAATTTGGCGGGTGGGAAAGTCCAAATGATGCACTTCTCTGCCTCGTTTGGTCTCTTTGGCCTGTTTCTTCTCAACACGGCCAACTTCCAGGCCCAAAACTTCGCCCACATTTTGCCTAGTATAGAAAGAATGTACCATGAATTTATCGCGAATTTTGTGTGACTCAATTTGTGACAGGGCCTGTGCTCCCTAGCAGAGCGCCCTCAAAATCATGTCCTTCACAGGTTTTGAAAGCAATAATGCTCCCCACCCTCCAATTTTTATTTAGAAATTAGAGTTGATATAACAGCACTGCTGTGTAAAAAATCTAAGGATTTGAGGGGGAATTGGGCCCAGGATGTGGACTGTATCAAGGAGTGACAGTGTATCAAGGAGTGCCGTTACACTGTAGAGCGTTGTAACTTTTCTTGGTTCATTATTAGTTATTTACTGAGTTGCAAGCTATCATTTACATAATAATAAGGGCCAGACTTGCGAGATGCGGGCCGTCTTGTGATGTTGGCCGACCTTGTAAACTAACTAACGTCTCGCAATGCATCGTGATCTGGGCGACACCTTTTTGGCATAATCAGCCTTATAAGGACCTAAGCAATTTTCCGACAAAGAGAACCCAGTATTCACGCCTTGGATCTGAACGTCTTTCTTCCTTCTTCTATGGACAATACTTTCACTCTCACCGCCTTCCCAGGTGCCGACCTCAAGCTTTGGCTGGTGGGTACATTCGTGGGTGCTGTCGCTTACGGCATTGTTGTCGTCCTGTCTCTTGGATGTGCTATCAAGTACCTACAATTCTTGAGGATGGTGAAGCTAAATCATCATTTGAAGGGAATCAAGAACAGCAGATTGTTTGGCCACTTGCTCTTCCCATATGTCACCATGATGTTCCTTGTTAGCACCTTGGCCGTTCTTTCTGGCTGCATAGCTATCATAAACATGCTCTTCCCAGCTCCGGCTGGTACAAGAGGTGTCGTTGCTCGGTTTGTGGCCTTTGGAGATGTGGTACCTCTTGTCCTTGCTGCATGGGGGGCTGATGCATTGATGGTAAGCAAAATCTTACCAGTACCATTTGCTTGGTTTCTTCATACATTTTACAAAGATCTGGCGATGCGTGGTGCTATATGAAGACACTGCTCACATACCCCGGTCATTGATCCATGTCCTCCTATGCATTCTTGCACTAGGATCGCTAGGTAAACCCCGTTTATTGCATTCTCGGTTGTTTCTGAAACTTGGATGGCAGGGCTAGGACCGGCGTACATGGTGACGACTTTGGCCGTCCTCAACAGACTCATGGTCGCCTTCGCTTTGATGACTGCCATATTCAATTTCTTTATGACGACTCTCATCGTCTTGCGACTTCGGCCCCACCAACAATTTATTCAACAGGCCCTCGGAGAAGAATATGGCTCTCCTTATGCAAGATTAATTACTATGTGCGTCGAGTCTGCCGCATTAACCGTCATCTTCAACGTTGCACACGTGTTTATGCAATTCAACCTCAACGTTGGCCTCGTCTTGTCGCATCAACTTCTTGTTCATGTCTACGTGAGTCTCCATGGTATTTTTTTTTCCAGACACCATTCTTAGTATTTTTGTTATAGGCTATTTCTGCATTATTGATCGTCTTTGCGTTCTCTCTGGAAGGACTCGTGATTCGGAAGCGGTTCAACGCGACACTCAACATTCACGAATCTCGGCCTCCTTACAGTTTACCCCCCCAGTCAAGTGAAACATGCTCTGGTAGTGATGTTTATCCACGATGATGAATTAAAAGCATCCCAAGCGTTTCGTTTCCAATGGTACAAATGCTCGTTACGCCGATAGATGCACCCTTCCTTGGATCCTTGGAAGTCGGCCTGTCTCTGCATTTGTGCCGTCATGTCTTACTCCACCCCACTTTGCAAGCTTCCTCATTCATGTCGACGTAAGTGATGTGCAACTCATATTTTCTTATGTATTCATCGACTACTGAAGGACCCCGTCCTGCTTTAGGATTCACAGCTTAGTTTGATATTTGTCACTCTTACCCTGAAGCTGCTGGGCGGGATGCCTAAAGGGACCTCCCAACTCGCATTTGGCTGAGCCTAGTTCCCAGCCGAATTGCGGATGTTGATGTCATTCGAAGAGAAGATTTTTATCTGCTCATCCAGCTATTGGTCCTGTGGAAGTTCTATCCGGTTTCGCGCCGGTAGCCCTTCCTGGATCGTCAAATTTGCAACTTCTGGCACGTTCTTTATCTATTCCAAGATCTCGAAAGCTTTGACCCCTGAAAATTTCTGACCGGTCTCCGTGAACCCTCGGACTCGTGTTTTTATCTCGTTCAGGTATATAACAGCCATGTGATCAGGCCGGTCGACGCTTGGGCACGGCTCCTAGCTGCACAGACGCGATCCTATCATGGCCACCGCCTTCAGTCCTGAGTGTACAACGAAGGGCAACTGTGAGCAGTGGTATGTTGGAACAATACTTTCGGCGGGGGCCTACGGTATGATTCTATTCTTATCCGTTGCCTGCACCATCATCTTCAGCAAAGCGATGCTTAAGCCGCCAGCTCGTCCAGGAGATCCAGGTCCGTTACCAAACCCCGTTGCTCGTCGTATGAAGAAATTGTTGCTCGCATTTCTCATAGCAATGTTCCTCCTGAGTACGTTCTCCGTTATCACTGCGGGATTTCGGGCCCGTCTTCTTTTCGTGCGTCCCGAAAGTTCAAGAGCTGCCGTTCTTGAACGCTTTGTCGTGCGTGCAGAAGCATGCACACTAGTCTTGGCTAATTGGGCCGCGGACCTCTCCATGGTGCGTGTGATCTTTCCTCCGTTGTCAGTCACATCCGAACTCTCTTTCCTGTAGATGTGGCGATGTCTTGTGGTCTATAGTACAGCGGATCCGTCTATTCAGACGAAATTGACCCTCTTTCTTGCGCTGCTTTCCTTGTTATCTCTCGGTAAGGTTCTTGCCTGTGTGATAACAATTAACTGATGATGTCCAAGGGAGCGGGATTTCCTATATCATCTCAGCATTTCGGGTGTTCAACGTGTTCATGATAGCCTTCAGCTTCATAACGGCGACGATCAACATCATAATCACTATTCTGATTATCGCCCGCCTGTCATATCACCAGAGGTACATCCGGAAAACCCTTGGGGAGCGCCACAGTTCCCCTTATAGCCGACTCCAGTACATACTGACCGAATCCACCATGTCAATCGTTGTTTTCAACGTCGCTCACGGTGTCGTTGCCTGGAAGCAGAAGGACAAATACGTTTTGGTTCTGCCTCATCAACTCCTGGTCCATATCTATGTGGGATCTTTCTTTCGTATTTGTTCGTCAGAAGCTGAATGATTCGTTAAAGGTGATCTCGGCTCTCCTTGTTCTCTACCGTGCGTCCCAGCGAAAGAAAAGCCTCGACACTCAGGGTCAAACCTCAATCCAGTTCTCAAGGTCTTTCATGCTTTCCGATCTTCTAGAAGAGCATGCAGAGCGCGAGAACACAAGAGAATCTTCCCCTCTTCAAGTCGATCCAAACTGCACCGAACACAGACAGCCAAACGAAGACTCGAGCAACAGTTCAATCCGCCGGCAGGCACTGTAGCTATTTGCGAGCTTCCTTGATTAACCCAAGATTAACACCACCCTCCTGTGATTTATCCAAATCACCCTTGTACATGCATTGCACCCTAAACGAGTACGAAACGATTCTTTTACATAGGATATCATTGGCTTCAAAGCAATAACTCGCCGCTATTCCCGTCATCGATATGGTTATGTGTCCTCATTGGTTCTTCTCGTTCAGCAGGAGATTATTGGAGGTCTGGCGATAACAAGCCTCTCGACCTGGTTCTGGACGATTCGTACCGGATTCTAGAGTGGGCGAAAGCTCGGGAGCGCAAATTCCTGCTATTATTGATCCGTTGGAAAGGTTGGTCATCGCGGCATTTCAGCACGCGGAAGTTTGAAGATAAGGGAGGTGGCTCTAATCAGATGGCTACACTTCCGCTACTATCGTGCTCGTCTGACACTACTAAGAATCGTTCGGCCATAGCACAGGTCATGCACAGAAGATGCATGACGAGAACCCACGGATATTCTGGCCAATAGAGGTCCGCTTGCACGGACAGTTGTGATATCGCCGCCGACTCTATAAAAAGCACTATGTAAGACTAGATTACCCTATCGCTGGAGTCGAGGCGCCTTCGGCAAGTGGAACGTCGGGCAGAATGTTCTGACTCAGGATTGTCGTCTGGTGTTCTGGACACAGGCACGTAGTTGTATAAAATCGTCTTTGCATAGTCTCTCATTTCACCTTTGGACCAATTGCCCTGTAGTCGCCAAATATGACGCCTCCCCTCATCCCAGGCTCCGATGCTTTCCTCGAACTGAGACTTCTCGGTACTGTCCTCGGCGCGTTTGCGTATGGGATAGGTTTCGCGCTGTTCATTCGCTGCATGCGCCACCTCCGCCACAATTCTCATTTGGGGCATGACCTTCGCCTGTGGCGTTGCCTGATCACGTACAGCATCTCGGTCCTTGGACTTGGCACACTGGCTTTCATAGCCCAGGTCGTGTCTGTCACCCGAGCGATATTCCACGCGAGCGATACCCTTCCGCCGTTGGGCCGGATAGGCGCTTACTCGTTCGTGTTTGTCATTTGGTTTGCTCATGGGTTCATGGTGCGTGAGCGTGATGCCTACTGCAATGTTGCTTATTCGCCGTCGACTCCTGCTGGCCGTGGCAGGTGTGGCGTTGTAGAAACCTCTATAACGACCTGAATTCCAGGTTTGGGAGGGCCACGTTGTTTGGTCTACTTGCCTCCACGGTGGTGTTGTCTCTGGGCGAGTTTTCTACCTTCTTGCTTCAGTTTCTCTTTTCTTAACAGTAAATCGGCGTCTTATAGGCTGCGGAATATTCTTCCTCGTCGAGACTTATCTGACGCTCAGATATTTCTCGTTCATGTTCTTCATATGCATCACCGCAGTGATCAGCATCATCCTCATGATACTGATCATTGTTCGGCTCGTCAGGCACGAGCGCTACCGCTCTGGTGTCTATTCGTACGACCTGGAGTATAAGGACGCCGTATCTCTGCTGATAGAGTCCTCGGCGTTGCCTGTATTGGTAAACATCATCTTCATCGCTCTTGTCTTCGAGAAAGGCGATGCGTCAATGATCCCCCTGCACATCCTCCCCCAGTCTTTTGTGAGTATGACCTTCCACTTGTGAGGGATTATTGACGACATGCACTCACAGGTCATATCAGTGTTCCTCATCATCTCTCGGCTAAGCCGCAGGAAGGAGCTCGCCTCTTTTCATCCTTCTCGCATTCAGCTAGATATTCCACGGCTCAATCCACCGGAATGACCGAGAATCGAGGAAGGCCAGTGCTTGAAAAGATGTATCTTTATCCCTATATACTCTAATATACCATGCACGCTCATCCTACGATAGACCAGTGAGGTATGAGATCATGGCGGTTACGCACGTATTGCTAGCAGCCTTGTTTAATAAACGGAGGCAAAGCTCCGCTGATCAGCGGCCCAACAATTTCAAGACTGGCCCCCTTGTCTGAACAGCAAGAGTATCAAATTTTGATCCTTCGACTTCCCTTGAAGACCCAATCCCCAGGAAACTTTATTTAGATGCCTTCATTGTGGTGGCTACTTGACTATAATTGAAATACTTTAGACGAACGGGAGTGATCCTTAGGTTGATGGGGGTGCCCGATCGCTTCAGGCGCTGCAGTGCGCCACATGCCTATAAAGGCATCCCCTGCAACTTGGGCCCAGACCACGCTCCATTGCCCAAAGCCGAAATCCATTCTTCATTTCTCCATCGCTATCTTGATGAGAAATGAAGATCCATTTGAGTCCTTCGTTTCTGAAACCCGAGGGCATGTTGTCCACGTCTCCAACTCGATCGATACAAGTAACTTTGAAGCTCCAGTTCTCCTCCACATGTACAGTACGCCTCTGTTAGTTGTCATAAATTTCTACTTCTTTCGTGTCCCTGTACTGTCCCTACTACAGCAGAGCTCCACGACTAAAAATTACTGTGGTGTGTCAACCAGATATCTGCGTGAAAGTGTCTTATCAGGCTATGGCTAGCAACTGATGTTGATCCAAAGGGGCGATCTACGGGCAGTACGTCCTATAGACGACTCTCTATACCGTAGAGTGGACAAATGGATTTTGTAGGTATAAAACCATTGGCTACAAAAGCAGTTAAACTTCCTGCTGTGATGAAAAGAACGAGGCCATTATGGAAACCAATGCTTCCAAATTGCGGATTCCACCATGAGCTCTGACTCATATCCAGGAAATATCCGCTTGAAGGCCTTGCACCACCCAACGTATGGCTCACGCATGTACAATGCGCGGGTGTACTCCCAGTATTCCGGCATCCAACTAGCCGTTTCCCAGTCGATGAGGGCTACCGGGCGAGCATTTTCGTCAACAAGAATGTTTTGAGGAGTCAGGTCGCCATGGCTGAGGCAGATTTTATAGTTAGTTTTCGATCGAATGTCCAAAGCCCTGTTGAATCGTTCATCATCTGACGGCCACGGAGTGCAAAAGTCTTCAGCATGAAACTCTTGCTGGGAGGGGTATGGCCCTAAAGGTTCTTCAACAATGTCGCCAATTCTGAAGCTGAATAAACCGCCTCCAAGAAAGCCCGAAATGACTCGTTCATCCGGGGGAGGTAAAGACCGTAGTTGTTCGAACCATCCTCGTAGCGTTTCAACAAAGATATCCTGCTGTCGTTCTGAGAGCTTGTGCAAGATTTCGCCCCTCTTCCCGAGATGTTGCCCTGGAGCTGCCTGCATAACGATAAGCCCCATCCTCGGATACTCTGGATGGCCAATGGAGACGCAATCGAGGATGTGAGGAACGGGGATCGACGTGTTCTCCTCAACATATCGAGTAGCGGCCACTTCCTCTACTGCATTGAAACCCTGTTTGATGTAAAGATTGAATGGTAATCGGGTGACATATAAGGTGGCGGCGCCATTCCAACGCTTTCTTGCGAGCGTGGTGACAGCTTCGTAGACTTTTAGTCGCAGAGAATTAGGAAGCAGGAGCCAAACCTTCCACATCCAGCCACAAACTTTCCTAAATATGTGTGTCAATGCGTACAACTTCGCGTCGTGAATCGACCTACTGAGTTCCGTTCATCATCTATTGGGTTTGAAGAGCAAGGAGTTGGGGCAGACACCGAACGTGATGCTCTGATGTGGCCATCAATTTCACACACCCTGACCGTAAGAATCTTGTCGTTCTCAACGCCAGCGTACATATTATGACATTACTTATGGTGCCAGTGTCTAGGAGACAAAGTCGTAACAGTGTTTTAACTTTCTGAATCATGCGACTGTATGCATACATTTTCAGTATATTTGAGTTACAACAAATTTAAAGAGTACATTTCTTCCGTTCAAGTTTTTCCTACACCGCTGGTTCCGAAATCAACCTCCGCATTCCTTATCTTCATCTTCTTTTCGAACATTCCGTGTGCTGTTCTAAACTATCGCTTTACTGAAGCTTGAACCTACGAAAGAGACGAACGCGCGTCAGGTTGAATTACAATCTTCCTAATAATTTAAACGCGAACCCAAGGGTTGCTCTGTATTTGACAGCCTCAGCGGCAGGCTTGACCTTGAGAGGCTGCACGGAGGGGTGTCCGACAGCGGCAGCGATGCGGTCGGACAGGCCTTGGTCGACGGCGGCCCAGACGGACACTGCAGAGAGTTCCATGATGGAGAGGGGTATCACGAGAGAATGCGGAGACGTACGCTGCCTGGCCTTGACGCCGGGGTCCTTGACGTTCTTGAAGTGTCCAGCGACGTTCCTGACGTACGCCTCGCGCTGCTGGTCATTCCATACCTTGCTCCAAAGAGTGCGAGGCTGTTCGAAGTCAACTATATCCGATCTTGTCATTTAGTGTCTGGTCAGAGCTACACCAACAAAGGCTACTCACGCTCTGTGATCTCAGTCAAGTCCCTCCAGGCGCCTCCAATGAAGGATTCATGGCGGGCGACGTGTGCCTGATCACACGTGGAGCCTTCGAGGGTCGCCTTCTTACCGGCGTAGGTCAACGGCGTGATGCTGCTCTGGTAGTTGGGGCGACTGCCCTGCGAGACGAAGGTCGCGAAACCGTCGCGCTGGAAGTTCGAAACGGGGACGATAGGTGCGTTGACGGGGAGCTGCTGGTAGTTGACGCCGAGACGATGACGGTGTGTGTCAGGATAGGAGAACAGGCGGGACTGGAGGACCGGGTCCGCAGAAGGCTCGATGTACGGAACAAGGTGCGAAGGGGAGAAGGCCGCCTGATAATTTGAATGAGAAACCGGCGATGAAGCATAAGCGAGGACTTGCCTGTTCGATCTCGGCAAAGTAGTTTTGTGGGTTTTCGTTGAGAACAAGCTTGCCGATCGGGCGGAGGGGGAACTCGGAGTGTGGCCAAACCTTCGTAAGATCGAGCACATTATAGCGGAATTTCTCAGCTTGCTCCGGAGTCATGGTTTGCTATTTAAGCCGTACGTCAACCTGCTGAGCCTATTTTCTGGAGAACCGGGGCTTACAATATAGACGGTCCAGCTTGGGAAATTTCCAGACTCAATGGCGTTGAAGAGAGATTCAATGCCATACTCCGGGTTCTCACCGGCAAGACGTCCAGCAGTGGCGTCGTCGAGAGTCTGGGAGAATGCACGCCGGGTTATAAGCAGCCGAATGGAGGTGGAATTGGACGAAAATACCTTGAAGCCTTTGTCAGCCCTAACGTGGACCTGTGTGTAGACGAAGGTGCCGTCATCCTTGAGCCATTTGAAGGTATGGCCTGAATATCCATGCTGGTTGTGGTAGCCATCGGGGGTTCCACGGTCAGAGAACAGGATCATGATCTGGTGAATTGACTCGGGATTTTGAGAAAGGTAATCCTAATATATGCATTAGATTTTGCGAAACGACAATCGAACACCGCAGAAAGAGCTCACCCAGAACATATCAGCATCCTTCAAGTGGGTCTGAGGATTCCTCTTCTGAGTGTGAATGAAGTGGGGGAATTTGGCGGGGTCGCGAATGAAGAAGACAGGCGTGTTGTTGAAGACCCAATCCCAATTTCCCTCATCGGTCCTGAGCTTGATAGCGAAGCCACGGGGGTCGCGGGCGGTATCCGCAGAGCCAGACTCGCCTCCGACGGTGGAGAAACGAATAGTCGCACGGACCTTCTTCCCAACTTGCTTGAAGAGCGATTGGGAGGTGATATCACTGAGATCGTGGGTGACCTCGAAGTAACCGTGGGCACCGGCTCCTTTGGCATGGACCTGGATGACACGATGGGAATGGGGTGGGATGGGTCCATTGGAGAGGTACTCACGACACGCTCAGGAATACGCTCGCGGTCGAAGTGGGCGAGGAGGTCGATGTGGTGGAAGTCTGGACCACGTCAAGGTCAATCAGGGGTCATTATCAATTTATCAATGACAACATACCCTGGAGAAGGAGAGGGCCGTTGATGCCGGCACGCTGGGCGGCGTATGGCTCTGAGACTGGGGCACCGCTGGAGGTGGTATAGACTGCACCGTCGGCTGGCATGATGGCTGCTGGGTTGAGAGAGGGAAATGGACTGCATTTGAGTTTGGGAGGGCTTATATACAGGTAAGACACAACCTTCGACTTCCCCACTTTCCAGATCTGACCCCGATTCTGACGTATGCCGGGCTAATACTCGCCCGCTCATTGGCTCACGTCCTCACGTGCAAGATCATTTTAAACTCCGCGGCCGCGGCAACTACTCTTTTCTCCAGTCCATGCTCTCTGCGCGCGGTGGTCGCGACGCGTCTCTCCACTTTGATATGAGATCACCGCGACAGAGAACCTTGCTTGACATCGATAAGATCCCTTTATATAGAACAGACGTCTTTGACTCCCGAATCTCTGAGCAACGTTCCCATCTTATGACCCCATTAACGCCTCGTTACCGAGGTTTACACCCCTTCTGCTTCTTCATCCAGTTCTCTTTCTCAAGCTTGTACCCTTTTTCCAAGCCCAGACATACGCAGATTATTCTCGAATGACCTCTTTTTCACACCATCCCTATCAGCTGACGCACCCCATTCCTCACCATCTACATACAAGATGGCGCGTGGTCAACCCCACGATCATTCGTTCACCTCTTTCAGAATGCTCCGGCCGTCATTCGCAGTTCTTCCACTCTATTGATTGGTAACTTCCCGTTAGTCTGGTCTCCTAATGTCCATCACGTCAATGACCCATAGAGCCGGCGTTCTTCTGACCATCCGACATGCGTGGGCACCTTGCAAGGTTTTGCATTTCTGGCCTGTGCAAGGGGTCTTGGGAACCGTAGTCGTCGTGACCCTCACACGTGGAAGATCTGATTCCGCCCACTCTTTAAATTGCTATTTCAATTTGTAAGGCTACCGATGCGATGCAGGACCTTTTATTCGTGGAAGACAGGTTGCGTACTATCGCGAGGCGGTCTTCCTGACATCCATAATACGACGGTCTTCTTTGGCACGACATGAGTGAAAGAAGGTGACAGAGAATCTGCGACTGGTCTCGATTTAGCAGACCTTCCTTCATAACAAGAACTTGTACCACTCAGTTTCGTCATTGTTGCTAGCCAACAATTGCAGCGAGAGAAAGGATCGCAGCATCGGCCGATATTTTCTGTATTGGCACATTCGGATACCATTGGAGTGCTCGCTTTGACCATGAATTGTCTCGGCTTGAACACTTGAGCATCCATTGCCCAGCACGGTGCTTCTAGTTATCTTGAAATGAAAGATGTGATCCGATGATAGCGCTACTTTAAATAGAGGAGCAACGCGTACGATGAATCAGCCAAAGCATGACCTGCCTGCTCAAGTCACGAGCCGTCGCGAATGCTGACTTGAAGTTGGCAATGAACAGGTCGCGTCTAAATCACCGAGACCACCATCGGCCGAAAACTGATGATCGTCACTCAGAATATTCATTTGATCCTGTGAATCTGTAGAGAGTGCCGGTGGTAATTTTGACCCAAGGGTGGCGGAGAAAACGAATGGGCGCTAATACGTTGGGATGGTACGCCACATTCAGCAGTTGGAACCGTAAAAGGTAATATTAAATCCAGGGCGCTATTCGCCCCGATCTGTTGTCGCTTATCGAGATGAGGCAGATCACCGCCACCGACTTTTGCCGGGTCGCGTTGGTCTGGGCAAGTCCTTTCTCCCCATTGTCCCTCTTCGAGGCGCGGGTGGGGTTTGCTGTCAAAAAGCGATCTATAGTATAGTCTCTTTACCCATTAGAGGCGCAGACATTCGTGATGCAAAGATATCTGGTAAGTCTTCGTCCTTCTATGCTAGTGAAATGAAAAGGTGGTCATTTTCCTGACAGTGTGTGACATTTTGAGTCTTGAAGGTCGCACTAGTGGAGACAAACTCGCCCAGCGTGCAAATGAGAACCAATACCGCCGACTTCCATCGAAAATTCCTCTGATACGAGCTCCCTTCAAAAAAAAAAAAGGAGAAAATGAAAGGGACGCAAGTGCAGACAGGCGGATAATGGAAATTGCCGCAAAGCTCAATCTCGGAACTTGCCGAAAACTGTATAGTTGCTAATGCCGAGACCCGGCAAGTAAACCTTGATTTGTGATCTGGACATTCCTCGCCGACCCGCACATCTAGCAAGACACCCTCAAGACTACGATAAAAAATGGCAGCAAATCGCGGTAAGCAGCCTCCGCGCCCCATTACTCGCCGTGGGATGCAGTGCTGATGGACATATCCATATCTCCTTTGGCTCCTTCCCTCCCTAACATACCACGCCTCGTCTACCTACACATCACCTCTCCCCCTCTTTATGCACGCATATTGGGACTGCATCCACCATCGGCTACATCTCGACGGTGACTCTTGGTACCAGGTGGAGGCGCAGCCGGCACAAAATTCCGCATGACCCTCGGCCTTCCCGTCGGCGCCGTGCTCAACTGTGCAGACAACAGCGGCGCTAAGTCGCTCTTCCTCATCGAGCCTTTCGGCTTCGGTGCCCACCTTAACCGCCTGCCCGATGCTGGTGTGGGCGACATGGTTGTCGCGTCTGTGAAGAAGGGAAAGCCTGAGCTGAGGAAGAAGAGTGAGTGTCGTCTTTTCGTGAATCGTTTCGCATTTTTTGCGTGGGGCTTTTGGGATTTGGGTACGCGAAAGGCTGGATGGGGGCGGATGGAATGGGCAAGATGACCATCAGGAGGTATTGTGATGGTGCGAGAGTCGAAGCAAGGGTTGGAGGAGAGCGTCCCAGATGCTTGTGCCTTGCAGGGAATGTGTATTGAATGGCAGCGATGCTCACCTCGTTCATGTCTAGCCATGCCTGCCGTCGTCATCCGTCAACGCAAAGCCTGGCGCCGGAGAGACGGCGTCTTCCTATACTTCGAAGACAACGCCGGTGTCATCGTCAACCCCAAGGGTGAAATGAAGGGTTCCGCCATCACTGGACCTGTAGCAAAAGAATGCGTACGTCCTCGCTCTCCACACGTTCCCGAACAAATGTCTTATTCATTGTGCGGCTTTTAGGCGGATCTGTGGCCTCGTATCGCATCGAACGCTGGCACTGTTGTATGAGGAGGGCATTCGTATCCATTTTCTCTTATGTCTCTTTTTTCTCAAATGCAACGCTTTCGATCGTTATGCCATGAACAGACAATTTTTTCGCCTGCTTGTGGACAGGCACTGTTATCGAAGAAGCCATATCACCACTGCTGGGATCGATCCCTCTCTGAGCAAGCCATCGCGCTGAATGTCATCTACTGATCCTCCCTCAAGCTTACGTCAATTTGCGCCTTCCACCCCATATCGTCTACAGGTGTCTAGCACAAGTCCAGTGCGTCGATATTCTGCATGTGGCTGGCGCGATATCAATATGGCTTTAGGCTATCGTCGTCTTCCCGGTCCCCATCCCGCATCGCCTTCTGTGACTTCGATCCTCGCCAGTGATACTCGATAATCACCCTTAGCATTATGGCCCTTAGGTTCTGTGGTGAACATATTGCCTTCATGGATGGCTGCTTTGCGTTGGTGGGCTTCATGTCTGTGTGCTTTCACAACGGGGTGGACTCGCTTTCGGAGCTCGAAGTTGTCTGGATCGCGTGCCATGTCCTTGAACGTCTTTCAAGCTGGCTGCCTTATGGTCCAGTCGAAGTTTCGGACACCTGCGAACGTTCCCTTTCCTCAGGCATTGTCGCCAATTCAACCGAATTTTTCAGCCTGGAAAAGTTGCTCTACCTACATGCAATTCCTGCGCACATACACCTGTGCGTGGAGCTTGATGATAACGAAGAAGAATAAATGAGCAAATATGAGAAAGTGAATGCAAAAATGGTGCAGTGAAATTGACGTGTATACAAGGATCAATAAATAAAATTCTTATTTTAAATCGAAGGTTTTCTTTCAAGGACCACCAGAAAGGGCCAAAACCTTCGCAACACCCTGCTCAGCCATAGCCATGATGGTACCATGAGGGTTGCCCATAGGGATGGTGGGGATAATCGAGGCCTATATCGCAATCCGTCAACCTGAAAGCTCCAATATCCGACAACAAATATACGCACGTCGATGATGAAGAGGTTGTCGGTACCGTAGACCTTCGTCCATTCGTCAACGACAGCGCTCCCTTTCGCTCCAATAGAGCACGAGCCGACCCAATGGTTCGAATTCAGGCCCCCAGTCGGGTAGCTGTTGACGTAGTCGTCGATCGTCGTCGTGTTGTCGGGCGTGATGAGTGTCAGTCCTGGGACGTCCTTGACGTTCACAAGCAGGTCTTTGATACCTTGAATCAAGACCTCCTTGTCGACGGGGTCGGTAAACCAGGGCTCGACGAGAGGGCGGGCGGTGAGCGCGGCGTCGATGCCGATGCGGCCACGAGAGGTGATGCCGGTCGAGAGGTATGTCGTGATCGTCATGATGTTGCTGACGTTGTATGGGTAGGAGGTGGTGACGGATGCTGCACCAGGGCGAGCAGTGCCTTGGAGCTATGGACGAATAAGAAAACGGAAAGCTGCGAGCGAAGATCTAAACATACCCATCGAGTCTTGCCATCGCGGCCGCCCATAGCTCTCCAGAAGTTAAGTCTAATGGAAGACAGTTAGCCGGAGGCGAACGTCCTTGCCTTTGTCCAACTAACCTGGGTGAGGCGTGTGCAAAGATACCAGATTGGTCCTTGATGTATTGGGCAGCGTCGGAGGGTCTTGGGGCTGTCCAAACTTGAGCCCAATTGTCGTACGCATCAACTGAAGGGTGGGTGAAGACAAGCTGCTCAGATATCAGTCCTCTGCGATTGGAGGCAACAGAAACACCAACATTAATCGACGGATTGTCAGAGACATTGTCTCCAACTGGTAGGTTGATCCATTGAGACTCCGGAGGAAGAGCAGGTCCCGCTGCAGGGTCGTTCTTCACGATGTTAATCATGTCCGTAGGGCCAATCCCACTGCGGAACAGGATCCTTGGGGTGCTGTAGGCACCAGCGGCAAGGACAACACGTCCTTTAGGTGTCAGCGGAATGACGCCATCGGGGCCAAGCGAGGTGTCGTTCGTCCTCACACCGAGAATCTTGCCTCCGTCTCTGACGACGTTCAGCACCGTCGTGTACTGCTTGTAAGTGAGGTTCGGGCGCTTGATGGCAGTTTGGTAGTATGTCGCGATGGGCCCTGCACGCTTTCCATCGATGAACTGAATAGCACTTCAACGTCGGCACTTAAATTTCTTACAGGGGAAACTCGACTTACTGAGAACGCAGAGTATCCATAGACATGATCCTTCCAGTCAGGAACGTCATTAATCGTGATGTTCGCATAGTTCTGCTTATTAAGCAGGGCAGCCGTAACATCCGCGACCTGCATCAAGTATCGCTTTCCGTCCGTCGAGGGGTGGTCCGTAGCTGGCAGGCGGGCCTTCAGCTTCGCGGTATACGGGTGGTGATTCGCCCACGACTTGGGCCAGCCATTGGCAACGGAAAAATCAGAGTCTGGGGGGTACCAGTAGAGACTGATGTAATCCACTCAGTCAGCTTGTGGACGGTTGAGTTGGAAGAAAGTGCTTACGCTCCGTTGATAGCAGTCCCCCCTCCAAGGATACAGCCGGCAAAGACGTTGACATCCTTGCACCACCAGAACGGGTTGCTGTCCTGGAACATCGTCTCTGTATCATCGGTCAATCTTCATTCAAAATATCCTCCGCTCAAATAGGCTCCTCACCGAAAAGTCCCGGAACGTCGAACTTCGTGAGCTAGAGAGACCAGGAAAGTCATACGCATAAGGCACTAGAGCAAGGTTAAGCAAGGGCCACCAAGGACGGACCGAAGTTCCTTGCAACCACGCAGGTTGGTACGTGCCTCCCGCCGAGCCAAGACTCGGTCCTCCACGCTCCAGCACCAAGACCTTCTTCCCAGCTTCCGACAGTCGATCGGCAACGACCAGCCCTCCGGCACCAGTCCCGACGACGATGTAATCATATGGAATAGCCTTCGAAATCGAAGAAGAGGGAGAGAAAAAAAGGAAGTCCAGTTAGACGCGACTTCCTTGCGGGCCAATGAATTCAATCGGATTGGCTTGCTTACCGAGACTGTAGGCGTCGCCGTAGGAGCCGTCGTGGTCGGGGGTTGCGTTGGCGTGCCGCCTCCTGTGCCGCCATTAGCCCAGAGAACATACTGAGCAGCGGAGACATGGGCGAGCGAGTAGTCCAGTCCGAAGAAGCCGACTAAAAATAGCAATAGTGTGCACACATCAGTTCCTGGGCGCGTCAGGGCAAATGGACGACAGTGCTTCTTACAGTCAGTATGCTCGTTGAATGTGCTCTGAGGGTCGGTAGGGTCGTTGACACCAACGGAGGAGTACGCCCAGGCTGGTACGCCGAATTCGCTGATCGGGATGCTCTTTGGGCCGCTCTCGGTCGACCATGCTGAGTAGCAACGGGGCGACGTTAGCAAGGACGTATGGAGTAGGGGGCCGTTCGTTACTCACTGACACAGTTCTGGCACCGGTACACCCACTTCCAATGTGTCGCGTTGACGATCGTATGCAGGTCCGTCAACACAGGACCGGACATCGCGGTGGGCTGAGCATAAGTCCTGCATCACGCACATAACGCACGTCAACTCTATTTCAAGCGAAGGACTTGGGCAGCACATACGTCGTATACCGCACCGACCGCACAATACGGTTATCGTTGGGCCACGCCACGAGCAGCAGACTGTGGAGCATGGAGCCAAACGGCGACACCCCAGCCCATTTCGCCTCGATAGGCGCGATAATCTCACCCACGAACTCATCCGTGTTGTCCTCGAGGGGAGGGAAGACGAAGCCGTATGTCACGCCATGCGCCGGCTCTTTGTATCCAAAGAAGCTAATGCCGAGCTCGTCGTCGATGTATTGGCCGCCCTGCGCGAAGGCTTCGGCGCGTCAGTTGCTTTCTGAGTAAAGTAAACAGGTCGGACTGAATACGACCTACCAGTCCCGATAAGAGGAAGGACGCTCAAGGCAACGCGCAGCAACATTGCCTTCAAAGCTACGGAGGGAAAGGAGGAAGGAGCAGCAGCACGTTTGGGTTCGTCCGGAGCTCTAAATATCGGATTTTATACCGGCGTGCAGCGAGAATCGTCCGGGAGATTACACGTCGTTGGGGCGCCGTACATCAGGGGTATACCATCCTTCTAATTTTCGTGCAACTGCAGGCGTTCTCGCGTTGCAAGCAGACGGGGACGGGAAGTGTTCGGAGGCTGTCCTTCGCTCGTGACCCTGGCTGATGATGGCAGAGGCTTCACACAACATTCCGCCCGGAAAAACTCTGCGCAATGATATGCGGGGCCTGTGATAGGCTGGCGCGCGATGTCGACATGAAGGTTGAATGCGAGCGCCTCCATGTCAACTGACGTGGCGCAGTGCCCATCCGAAGAACGCCCGTAAAATTATCCGTCGATATTTTAAGTGGTCAAAAGCTTCCGCTTTTGGAATGGAGGTTTGGGAAGGCGGCAGGATGCTGGACGAGTTCTCTAGGTGTTGTACAGAGCGAAGCACAGTGAGAACGAGCGGTCGAAGCACCGAGGGTACGATCGTGCCATAATATGGGACCTACACCAGACAATTAATCCGACTACTCTGCCAACCGACGGAGGAAGAGATATTCACCTACGTACCGTCCTTGTAGCAGATTTGGAGAAGGGTGGAACGTTCCTGGGGATCGGAAGCATGTATGGGGTAACAGGGTTTTTGGCAGAGCATGGAACGCGGCCAATGGTGATGGAAATATTCCCAACAAACGGACTTGGCCAGATACCGAAAGCGCACATGGCCTTTTAGGTTGGCACATACCCAGAATAGGACCAACAGTAGGTCTTGGGATTGTAGAATCGTTGGTGTCGAGCGCCGCATCTTCATTTCTTCAACAGCAGTATACTCGGACTGGATTGGAGCGGCGAAGAGCGCTGCGCAAATAGGTGAGAGTGCTTAGGGCTTGCACTTGTGCTTGAGATGTTCTTAGCACGTTCTCCGACGCGTAATTCTCGTCTTTGAGAGAGCACCCACGGGTTGCAAACTCGGAGATACCTGGATAAACTCCAAAATTAACGTGAAGACGGGAAACAAGAGCCGGACATGACGAACAGTGATAAGTAGTGAAAGAGATGAGTTTGGGCAGGACAAGACGACTTGAGGACGATCGTCCGGAGTTCCAGACGTCATATTGTTAGACGGGTGCCGTTGGTGCTATCTGGTGACTGAAGGCGCGTGAGGAAAGGAAGAAAGTCCGGAGTATGGAGGTGAGGCAAGTGATCTTGGGCGTGTTTGTCTAGGCATGTTGCGTGAATTCAAGGTTTAAATAAAAGCGAGTTTCGTTCAAAAGTAAGCCTTAGTTCGCTGACGCCCACAGCGATGAGGGTTTGTGAGAAAAGAGTCGACGCGTTGGACGAACAATGGTGTTTGGCTACGGCGTTTGATGGCAACGTTCTTGCTCACGCATGGATGTTTCCAGGAGGAGCGTGAGCTTGGTTGGGTGTTGACGACTACGACGACGGCGCTCTGTTCTTGTGATTTTTGGGCCCGCTTTTCACTGGGTGCGGCCTCCTTCAAGCCCCTTCATTCCCCAACTCAGATCAAGACGCGTCCATCTTGTCCTGTTACCCCTCCTTTTCCGCTTTCCTCAACACACCTCTGGCCCTCCTTCCCTGACGCAATTCTCCAGCCTTATACCGTCCAGCACTCGGGCACGACGCGCTGCAGTATACGAACTTCCCATCTGAACCACGATCAACCAAATCATGTCAACGTCAGCATCCTCCTCCACACCACCTCCTGTAGCCGGCCCCAGCTTGCAGATGCTCCCTGAAGGCAATGACGAGAAGAACAGGTACGCCCCATCTCGTGTTTTCAGACCGTTTCGCGCATCCTGAACGCGGGGGAAGTGTGGTCATCAAAGTAGGAATGGTTGGAGATTCGCAAATAGGGAAGACAAGTCTGATGGTCAAATATGTGGAGGGCAGTTTCGATGAGGATTATATCCAGACGCTGGGTGCGTCCGCTCTGTCCATCCGTCGTCTAATATCCTCTTAGCGCACCTCCACTAGGCGTCAATTTCATGGAAAAGACAATATCTGTCAGACGGACAACAATCACCTTTTCAATCTGGGACTTGGGTGGCCAGCGGGAATTTGTCAACATGCTGCCTCTCGTGTGCAACGACGCCGTTGCGATCCTATTCATGTTCGACTTGTCACGGAAGTCAACGCTCAACTCGGTCAAGGAGTGGTATCGGCAGGCGCGGGGGTTCAACAAAGTACGTACACTGTCTTACGTCTACTGCGAAGAATGTGCAATTGTGGTCCCTTCTGGAGACAAACTGACTGACTCTTCCTATTCGTCTGCAAAGACCGCCATTCCATTTCTAATTGGCACCAAATTCGACCAATTCGCCACATTTCCACGGGATGAGCAAGAAGAAATTACAAAGCAGGTGCGTCAACGCTCACTATCTCGTCCATCCTTGACTCCTTATCCTTCAACTGCAGGCAAAGCGCTTCGCACGCGCTATGCACGCCTCACTTATCTTCTGCTCCACCTCTGCCTCAATAAACGTGCAGAAGATCTTCAAGATCGTGCTCGCCAAGGCCTTTGACCTCAAATGCGTCATACCCGAGATCGAGGGCGTCGGCGAGCCTATCCTTATCTACGTGGATGTTTGAGGTGTGATGGACAGTGGAGGTGGAGGTGGAAGTGAAGGCGCGTGTTATGGATGAATCTAAGTCTGTTGGGAGTTGTGGTGGAGAGGGGAGGAGGCAGAGGGAAGGAAAATGGGAGGGAATATGGCAGGGGAAAGAGTGGATGTGGACGTGGCTATAGCCCTGGGATGTGCGAGCGTCTTTTGTTTGATATCGATGGGATGGAAGAAAAAAAACGCTCAGGTACGTCATGATCGTCGCATACCTTCCCTTCCCCCTCGAAGCTGATCTGCAGAGCTTATTCTATACCGAAAGGCTGTCACTCAGAACGGAATAAGGACCGCATATTCTTCGTCACGCACCGCGCTGTCGTCGCCATCGTCGTCGCCATCACCGCCATTGTCAAACTAGACGTGGTCACGGATTCCGAAGCTAAAAGAAAGACCTCTCCGGGTCTGCCTCCTTGGGGCGAACTTCTCAATCTGAACTCGGATTCTGAATCATGTGACAACCACGGACACTACCCTCTTCGCCTCCATCAATTCTTGTGTTTTACCTCTTATTTCTTTCCTCATACATCGATACCGAAAGCAACACCAAGTTTCCTCTTTCTACACCACCCACTCTACTCTGCCCGTAGTCCCTAATAGACGCCGCCTTACCTCGCCTTTTCACCTTCCAACCTTGCAATTCAAGTTGCCTGTCATTTATTCCATTCCACTCCATTTCCCCTCTCCTCTGCTTCTCTCGTTGTCGTCTGTGCTATCGTATCGTCCTTGTGCTACATACAATCATACATACATACAATCCTGTCTCGCTCACCCACTCACTCATTACTTTATCCACATCTCGCACCGCCACTGCGCCCTTTTTTTGCATTCCCTCTCTCTTTCACTCTCGAACCACCGACCGAAGAAGCCGGAGTATCGCTGAGCCGCTGCGATTTGCAGCCCTTATTTCCTACCTACCTACTTATCCACCCACTGCACATTGCAACCTGGACTGCGCATTGGCACCACCCAACGCACTGACACCGGCACCCCGCCTCGCGACACTCACTGTCAAGTTGACGTTCCGACTCTACTTCATGATGTCAGTCGTCTACACTCTTTTTTCGAATTTCTACTTAGTGGAACTCGGTTTTATCTATTAATATACACATTTCTTCTTCCTTTCTCCTGGTCCTGTCCTGGCACGCCCCCTTCGCTTCAGCATCGTCGTGTTGTGTATCTTTATGCTTCCTCCCTCTTCCGCACCCCATAAGGCCATGCCCCTAATGCACGCACTCTTACATAACCTCTAACGTCCTACCACAGCACTCTAAGTTTTTAAGGTGATCGTCAACTCGGCAGCTTGCTTCGAGCCTTTTATAAGGGCAGCACCTGGACGCCTAAGCCCGGCGGTCTGGCACGGAGATTCGCCGCCTGCTCTGCTGGCGAGACGACCAAGGAGGCACGAACACTCAGGTTTGCTAGCTCAGGAGATCTGAGGTACTGGGTAGCACAATGAAATGCTCGGAGATCTATCGAGGGGCAAGTCGCCTTCCGGTGCCGTCACTTACAGTCCTCTTCCGGTGCCTCTGCTTCTGATACCTTTATCACAAGTATCTTTGGTTATAAATAGCTGGCAGCAGCCAGACGGTGCACGAGAGCTATGCCTCTGCCGAAGAAAACCCAACAATACCGAGCTGGACTGTCAACTGACACCACAGCTGCCAGCTGATAGCGAGGCCTGAGCGTGCGCGCTGCAGAGGGCTGCCCAGAGAAAATTAAAAGTAGGAAGGACAAAGGACAGATTCAGAGAGAGGGCTTATCGATATCAGAAGACCCTTCGTTATCGTCTATCGTCTATCGTCCCCAAGGGCAATGTGAACGCGAATGTGGATCGCAACCTCACCGATAGCAGCATTGTCTTCTCCTATACAGGAATAGGCCGGGTTGGCTGGGCTGTCAACGTCCAACCTCAGACCTCAGAGGCCTCAGACTCCAGTGTTGGCAGCTAGAGCACAGCGAAAGGGTTTGGGTGCATACGGTCATGGCCTTGTCCTGCCCAGATCAGGAGGGGTGCACTGGAAAATAGAAGGACGGAAGAGTGGAGCGGAGACCCATGGATGATAGCCAGCAGACGATTCGAGGCTGCTTGATTGAGATGGTACGAACTTTGTCGACTTTGCTGTGTTGTAAATGAGCAGCCAACGTTCAACTTAATTATGAGTGATGGGTTAGTTCTCACCTTGCGACAAATCAATTTAAAAACGTGCATATGATCGCTGGAAAGTAGTGACTTCCATATTGTTGCGTCGCGTGAACGATGGCCCAGCGTGTGCTGGACGAGGAGGAAGAGCCCAGATGAGCGCCTCTCCACGAATTGCAAGGGCTTGACGCTGCGTAGTGTCCCAAGACGTCCAGAGCGCTGTCGTTGCTAGACACTAGTAGTGGCTTCAATGCCGAGAGGATGGGGATGCTACACTGAAGCTTTAAGGGTGCGAGTTGCCAGTGCGCGATGCGCACCGTCACGACCTGTTCCATAATCCGAATATCACTTTCGGACTTTACCACCTGGTCTACGAGACGAGAAGCAGATAAGAAGCAATGTCCGCCCGAGAGGCGCAAATGCTGTCCGTAGAAGATCATGCCAAGGAACCACAAAAGTGCATTCTCTGAGAGGTAGAGTCATTGGACAGTTCCGCTACGCGACGAGTCCCCCTTTTGTGCGCCGAGCATTGAGGGATCGACAGTTCCGTGAGCAAGCGATGTCTCTTTACATGAAAATGAAGTCATAATCCTGTAATGCGAAGAATGGCAGCAGGAGAAGAGCACGAGACAGGCGCATCCCAAAGCCCGAGGTGCCCAGAGGGATTTTCCCACGTGATACGGATTTTCATGTTCTGCCCCTTTTCTGTGAACCTCCTCCATCCCACCACAGCGCGGCCAGCCAACTCTTCTCTGCTGTCGTCACTCACTATCCCATGCGAGAAAAGGGTGCTTCTATCAATGCTACGTCTATCCTGTGGCTTGAGCACACGACCTTGTGCTGTAATGTTTTATTCTATTCTATCCCAACGGCAGAGCGCCACTTCTCTGCAGCTGCTCGTAACGCAACTGCATGCACAGGACAATAAGCTGTGAATTCAATGGACTGCTATGGCTCGGTTCCTTCGTGCTGGTAGCAAAGGGTGAAATGGCTTGAGGACGACCTACTTCACTCCTTATCGGCGTCAGCTAACCCGGCTCGAAGTTCGGGTCAACACCTATCTAAGTACACAGAACCGCATCCTTCTACTTTTCAATCCACCATCATGACGCGAAACTCCAAAAATATCTCCCTCGCAACACATGGACCATCCTCGCCTGATCCAGTTTTGACTTTCCTCCGATTCTCTTGTCGCTTTCTTGTCTCGTCACCTGTGGCTGACCCACCCATCTCGTCCGTGTCCAACTGGGGGGCAGCAGAGCGAAAGGACCATCCGGGCTGCCCAGCCATGCAGCCATGTGTCTCTTCTTTCTTCGCCTGGTCTATGTGAATGCTACCCGCATCTTGCCACCGTACCGCAAGGACGCAGATGCACCAGCGTGCCACCACACGGTTCCTCCCCATCCCGTTTTAGGACATCGACCTCCTCGCGAGGGCTCGAGGCATAGAAGTACAAATACCCAGACGAGTCGCCGCTTCCCTCCTTCTTCAAGCCGACAGGCCTTCACCTCAGAGAAGCTCTCTTCGACTCTTATCTCAGATGACCTATCAGCGCACCTTCCAGCGCCTCTCCCTCGTCGCCGCAGTTGCCTTAACGGCTCTTGTGGCCGTCGACGCAACACAGATTATGCACCGTCCCGAGCGGTACATGGAAGCACCGAACAGGTTCCTGATAGAGACCAACACGAAGACCCACCAGATCGAAAGGCGTCAGGCCAATGGCAAGGTCTCGTTTGCGTACTTCACGAATTGGGGGATTTATGGTGCAAACTTCCGTACGTTTGCTCTCCTCTTTTACCGGCGACATCACTGAAAGGCCACGTCTTTCTAGAACCCACCGACATTGTCGCCGCCCCTCTGACGCGTAAGATAATGCGCATATATTCGTGGTCCACAGTTCTTACCCTTCATCCATAGACATTCTTTACGCCTTCGCCGATACCGATGCATCCACTGGTGCCATCAAACTCACCGACTCCTACGCGGATCAAGAGGTATATACCTTCCTCCACCCCTCCACCCCGCCTTCCACTCCCATCACCTCACCCTTTGCCTTGCCCCCTTTCAGAAACACTTCCCCGGCGACTCCTGGTCTGAGACGGGCAACAACCTCTACGGCTGCTTGAAGCAGCTCTACCTCCTCAAGTTGCAAAAGCGCAACCTCAAAGTCCTCCTCTCCATTGGCGGCTGGACGTACTCGCAAGCCGGCCACTTCAACTTTGTCACTTCGCCCTCTGCCCGCGCAACGTTCGTACAGAACGCGGTGCAGCTCGTTGAGGACTATGGATTTGACGGAATGTATGCGCCTTTTTTCTTTCCCTCTCTTCTTACTGAGCTTCCTTCTCCAGCGATATCGATTTCGAGTACCCCTCAAACTCAGCACTCGGCCAAGGCCTCGCCGATCTGATGACCGCCACCCGCACTGCCTTCGACCAACTGCAAGCGCGCAAGGGCGACTCGATTCCATACCTCCTCACCGCAGCCGTCGCAGCCGGCGCTGAGAACTACGCCAACTTGAAGGTGCCGCAGATGAACGCCGCGATGGACTTCTGGAACCTCATGGTACCCATATACTATATTGCCTCGCCTGTCGATTCATTCTCAAACTGTTTGGATTATTTTTGCAGGCATACGACTATGCCGGCTCTTGGCTCACCTTTTCCGACAACCAGGCCAACTTGTACGGCGGCTCCCGCACGGGATTCAACACCGACTCTGCGGTCAAGTTCTACACCGGGGCTGGTGCACCCGCCAGAAAGATCGTCCTGGGTACGGGATTCGCCTCTCTCCCTCTCATTTTGTATCTTCTCATACACAACAATATCCAGGCATGCCCCTCTACGGACGCGCATTCCAGAACACGAACGGCCTCGGTCAACCATACAGCGGCATCGGCCCCGGAACCATCGAAGCTGGTGTCTACTCGTACAAGGCTCTCCCTCGTAAGCTCTCACTTTCAAATTCAACGGATTTAAGCCCCGACATCTCCTCTTCCAGTCGCTGGCGCACAAGTCTTCGAAAACACGACCGACGTCTCCAGCTACTCCTATGACTCTGCGAAGCGAGAGCTCGTCTCCTATGACACGCCCAACATCATCAGGCTAAAGGCCCAATACGTCAACTCACAGGGGCTCGCTGGGTCCATGTTTTGGGAGGTTAGCTTCCTTTCATTATGAGAAACCTTGTCGCGATCTTTTGCTGATGCTTTTCACCCTGGACTAGCTCTCAACCGACAAAACCGGCGCCCAATCCCTCGTCCAGACCTCTGCCAACACCCTCGGCGGGCTCGATACCACCCAGAACCACATCAGGTGTGTTCACTCTCTCTCCACCAGTCCTTCCACTCACTGCGTTCTTTTATTTTATTCATCTCAAAGGTACCCGAACAGCAAATGGGACAACATCCGCAGTAACATGGGCGGCACCGCTCCCCCGGCACCGACGACAACGGCGCAGCCGGCTCCCACCACGACGACCCCCACCACACCCCCTTCTAGCGGAGCCTGTGCTGGCGTAGCTACTTGGACTTCGACCGTAAGTACCTGTTGCGAGTGCTTCACGGTCTGGGATCGCTGACGAGCGCGGATCTGGATGCTTAGATTGCTTACACCGGAGGAATGAAAGTGACCTACAACGGCCGTCTTTGGACCGCGTCCTGGTGGACGCAGGCTGATACACCTGGAGGGCCTGGTACGTTCTGATCTTTTCCTCGTGTCCTCTTCATTCACTTACATACGACTCTCTTTTCTTCCTTTGCAGCCGGCGTCTGGGTCGACAACGGAGCTTGTTAACTGACGGACGTTACGTACCCATACTGCGGCTTCAATGCATACACACCTAGAAGGGGTTCCGACGTTTTCTTCTGCTCTGTATTACGCATTAACTCTTCCTGTGTATAATACTCTGTTCTTCCATAACGAATATCTTTTGACCACGACTGCACGCCGCCATGACGCCGGGCGATGCCGGGCGAAAGCCCGAAATTGGAAATAGGACGCCACAGCGCACGAACCAAGAGTTCGTTGACTTCAAGCTTACGAACGAGCTAACTGGCGCAAGGGGAGAGAGCCCACTGTGCCAGTGGACGGCATGCGTGAAAATATGTAACGCTTGGGTCAACATAATAAAGCTCCTTACGACTAAAGAGTCGTGACCCCTAAATATAAATGATAAGTGGAAGCTCACATCGACTGAATAATCTGAGCGCGATCAATCCTGTGAAGACTTACACAAACGTGGTACTTAGGGTAGTAACGTGGAATCAGGTAGAGGACTTTGGTGATGGACCACCTCAAGACCACCTATCTCTGAAGATGCAGTCGGCATGTGAGCAAGCTACGCTCGGTCATCTAATCGCTGTACCTCAACAGGATTACCTCCAGATAAGGTCCACCTCGTCAACGATTGTCGTAAAGATGTCATAAAGAAGCATAGTCATGACGGCAGCTAGCAGGGCAGAAATCAGCGGACGGCGGATGCGAAGCCCGAAAGAGAGGCACTGACCGTTCATGTAACCCATATCCTCCGAGCGCTTAAAGCCCGTCAGGAGTCTCTGGAAAACCAGGGAATCGCTGGTCTGAATGGAGGGCATGGCGAGGCAAAGTGTGCGGCGGGTAGAGTGTCTAGTGTGAAGACGGGTGTCTGCGTGGCTTATAAACCAGATTTTGGATGGCTTCGAGATTTTTCGGTGTTCATCGCACACTATGGGTGCATCTGCAAGGGATAATAATATATGGAACAGATGCTTTTGATGCTATGAGTACTATTCAAGAACCAGCGATCATGAATGAGTGAGAGGGCTATGCTCTTGATGGACCTCATTGGCTTACCCTGATTCTGTCTGCCAGAAGATCATGAAAGGTGTGAAGACCGAATACAGCGGGTCCACATCGAACTGCCTCAGACTGTTTGGCCTGGCATGAAGAACCTCGAGGCCTCGAACTTGGCTGGGCATCCAACTTAAGCTCGTACGTGTTCCCACACATCACGACAACGCCTACAACGCCCCTCAAAGGGTAATAGCTTTTGTCCTCTGTGTATCCTCTGTTGTTTGAGGATGAGATGCGGAGACAGGGGAAACATTGAGTGCCAAGTACAAGGCTGTGAGAGATGCACCGAAGACTGATGTTCACTAAATGTAAGCTGCAAGACCGATTTTCGCTTCATGCCAATGTCGGTGCCGCACTCCACTTCCTATTATCTTTACCCTACCAAATGTGTGTCCTTGACAAGATACTTACGAAAAACAGTACCATGAACTTGTGATACTATCCAAGACGTGTATTCCAGATGAAATTCGAGGCTCTGAATGTTTTTGGCACTCCAGCGCCAATCTCGTGTCTTGGCTTCGGTAAGCGCCCAGCGCTCATCACTTGCACCAGTCTTTGAGCTTCCAACCCTCCTCTGGGGTAACATATTTCTTACCAAATGCAAATGTACATGCACTACAATCAAAAACGAGGATATTGCTGATATTGTGACCTCTGCATAAATATGTAGATTGGGACGGATCATGACGGGAACAGCATCTTCCAAGCCTCTGAAGGCGCTAAAGGCTGAGAGAATTTCCCCTTGGCTGCCGCAATGGTTCGCTATCGGAGATGACAGTGATCAAGCTATATGTATCATATGCGAAGACCCGAACCTCAAGTAATTGGGCCCCTCGCGTTTCGAACCACCTCCTTCTCTCTCAACGACTCCAAGGCATCTACAATTTTGCCAAGATCGATATCCGCTCTCAATCCTTTCTCAACCATAAGATCGCCCATGACGAGTAGCTGTAAACAGGCCCCTACAGTCGCAACCTGCTGCCGTCCTTCCGGGACGGACACATCGAGGAGCATCAAGCCTTCTCGTGCGAACCAATATATCACCCCGGTGTCGAAGAGGTCGTTTTTGACTGCGCTCCCACAAAACAGAGCTCCGGCAAGGACGCGGTTCGAGGGGATGACCTCGGTTTGTTTGGGCTTGTGGAGATCAGTCTCGTTCAAAACATCGTCCAGCAAGTCGCCGAGGTGGGCCTTGACAATACGGGGGAATGATTCGTTTGTATATCCTGAATCCGTGACTAGACATCAGCTTTCTCGGGCAGAATCTTGGCGATAGGAAGCACGATGGCGTCGACATCCTGTGGATATGTAATGGCAGCAAACAGTAGGCCATCGGCCAGCGTGTGGGCACAATCGACAGTCGGATTTGAGTCGATGACGGTAAGGACTTTGGAGTCAAGGTCGGTGAAAGGATGACTGAAGACCGATGTGAATCGGTTTAGGAGGGACTCGTAGTTTTCGTCGCTGGACATAGTTCGGGGAGATAGTAGATCGCGGCGGAGAGAGGAATGATAATATACCACTCATCAACAATAGGACGATTGAAATCAGCGCCGGCTGTCTGACTTTGCCCACAATGTCGTTCTAGAAGACTCATTCATCAGTGTCACTGATGTGGACGCCCACAAGGCGACCGCGGGAATCTGGGACCTTCTATTCATTGCGAAGGGTCTTCTGCCTTTCCGACTCATACCCACGCATCTGGCCATTGTTGGAGTTACATTTCAGACCTTGAAAGAAAACTTGGGCTGGATGGCGGCCGTGGCAGGCAGCTAGACTATGCTCAAAAGTCGTTAGGTAACTTGAAATCGTGCATTACTAGTACATATAATCTACGCGCGAAGCACTGTGGCACCATCTCCATATGCCAAGACAGCGCTCATAAGAGTTACGGGTCGAATTTAGAGCACATTTTGATCCAAGGGACTGTGAATACATGGTAGTGTCAGCACTACGTACAACTTGCGTACGATTTGGATGTGAGCCCATGAACAGTGGTAAGTCGTGTGTGGCGGCCGGAACGCGGAAATATTATTTCGCTAATATAAGCACGTACCTTAGGGTATTACACAACACACACACACACAATTTCGACATACACCCGAATTTAATATACACACACCTGATTTCGCCATACACACACCCCGTTTTGACACACACATCCGATTTCTATATACACACATGGCTATCGGCAATTTCGGCGATCAGTGGAGTTCCAGCTTCTCGGGGATCTCGGCGAGCGCATTGCCCAGGACACCGAATTTATTCCCACATGTAAGGCATCTAACACACTGGGCGGCAACTGTCCCTTCCTCCTCAGGATTAATGGGGTATCTTAACCATCCAGGCTCAGCTTATGAAGGCTCATCGACACTCAATCGCGCCCAAAAGATTGAACGGCTGCAATGTGGGCTCAGATTACCGAGCGGCGAGAGTTGTGGGTCCCGGTTCCTCCTTGGCTATTTCTTTATTGCAAATAGCGCTTGCCAAGTCAACACCCACTCCTAAACAAGATATGTACTTGTTCGTCCATTTGAATGTCCTGTGGAACGAATTGATCCCGGAAGGATGACGGCGACATCTACACGGCTCTGACAGCGCCCACAGGGCTTCAAGTATAAAATAGCTGCGGGTCCCTCCCAGAATCTGTATTGAGCTGGTCTCTGATACTTCTAAAGTCTACATACTCAGCTGCGCTGGTATCTTCTACGCACATCTTTCCTACCTCGAGAACCCTCAGAAATGTATGCAGCGCCATACTGGACAAAAATACAGATTTACGTTTTTTCCTCATAAGTCCCTCTCCAATCTGTCAGATTCAGGCAGAATCCATCCAATATGGTCCCAATCCGCAGGAAACACACTGATTAGACCCGCTTCGTTTGCCACCCAAAAAAAAAACCAAAACCCCTCCCGATCTGCAACACATCGCCCTGATTCCGACTGATTCCGACCAAAACCATAATATTGCAAGGTCCCAAATGGTCGGATTCGGGACGAATCTGACCACACACGAGGGAAAAAAATCACTAGATGTTTCTTAAAAAAAGAATTGAGGAGGAATCCATACGAATCGTCCCGAATGCCCCACGCGGCCAGATTCCTCCTGTATCAGAACAATGGGTCATAAAAAAAGGGAGGGTCAATCTGGCCAAATTGAGCAGAGACGGTGTGAAGATGGCAGATCCGGGAGGATAGCGTTGGTCTCAGGACGAAACTGGCAGATTTGGTCAGATTTGGTCAGGCTCTGGCCTAAATTAGGGTTTCTCATAAAAAAAACTTCAATCGTGTATTTTTGTCCAGAATGGACCGTCATAGAAATGCTACTTCACCTGTACCTCTTCCTAGGGGTCACTGCATCTCTCACATTGTTGTTGGCACGTCCGATTTCGGTCTCCAACGACGTGCATGGCATTGACGCTGTCACTCGGCATGGAACAGATTTTTCTGGTATGCTGTTGTTTCATCTTTTCTTTGTCTCATCATGACCGTTTGCTTTGTTGTCTAGACTTCAACCCTGGCTTCACCGTGCGGGCCCTAACTCTTCTGGATTCCCACAAACATGCAAATGCGGTATTGCATGCTCAGCAATCCAAGAAGGCGCTTCATAGGGAAAAGAAAGCTGCCAAAAATAAGAAGGCTACCTGTGGGAAGACAACTGAACATGAAAAACAGAAAGCCATCTCTAGCGCACAGAAGGCCGCCAAAGAAGCCTGCAAGGAGCGATGGGAAAAGAAGCCCAAGACGACGCCAAAAGGGACAAAACCGAAGACGCCAAAGGTAAAGTTGACAGCAGAAGAAAAACAGCAAGTCAAGGATGTCTTGCATACCTCAGTGTCCCATATGAGGAATACTGTGGGAATCCTGGCAACTGGCCAATATCGAGTCAAATCGACACCAGATGCCGAAAAATACATGGGCAAAAGCATTCAAACTGCTGTTATGAACTCATACATCAATGATCTTAGCTCTGCTGGTCTAGGTAACGCTGTGAGCAAGCATGTATGTCTTTCTGCATCATCTATGTGTTGGTATTGCTTATTTAACCCATTTCTCTTCGTATCCAGCCCAAGCTCTTTCAAAACAGGCCTTATGATGGCAGCCATCCAGATGGAAGAATCCGTAACCAGCATCCTATTCCAGGTAATCTGCCAAACCTGAAGGAATACCCTCTCAAGAAAATTGGATGGACTGGTACCGGCAATGTGGGCCCTGTGCGGGTTATTACATTGTCGCATGGTGGAACGGATATGTTCCATGCTGTGATTGGACACAATATTTCGAGAGGTGGCAATGAGAATGACCATTACTGTGCTTCAAGGGTAGCTAGGGAGGCTGATGAGCTTGATTAGTTTTGCAACTTATGAGGGTTGTGGTGTCTCTTGCCAGGTGTCTCTGTTACCCAATCAGGAAAATGTGGCAGAACATCTTCCAAAGTGATCATTAATATCACATGAGAATGGAGTACAATCTATGCAGAGAATCGAAGATAGCATGAAATCAAGCTCGACTTTAATCATAATAAGCACAATAAGTACTCTACAGTCAGTAGTCATTGAGGGATTCGTCCAGCATTTGTTGCAAACAATCCCACTTCCAATCCAAACCTCGCTTGTTGTAGCCTCATCCAGTGTTGTGCCCATCATTGACTAGTCAAGAAAGTCAATGACCATCAAAAATTGATGGTCAAAGGTCAATATTTGACTTTGACCTTGACCATCCTGCCAAACTGGGCAAGGCTGGAGGCTTAGCATCACTTCTCAGCATAGACAGTGATAAGATAGCCATTGATACGTAGTTACAAAAGATCTGATACATTGATATTTGCCAAAATCTCCTGTGTTGTGTTGTCCAACTCATCCTTGCCATCTGCATCAAGGTCCAGAAGATTATAAAGCTCCAGTTCGTCGTCATAGGACAATCGCGCAAAATGTTCATATCGTTCAACCCAGTAAGGCAATTGCATATTGAACAAGACAGACAGGGCTGTCTGCCCAATCGCGTTTGAGACCCTGACTGGCTCGTTATCAGTGTTATCTTCTTCCACCTGCTGAGTGTGTCGATTGACGATGTCTCTGAAGGCACGATTATGACTGGTCGGACTGGGTACATTGGGGGCTTGGCCTGGGGCATGGGGCTCAGAAGTTCCAACAGAAGGGGCAGGAGATGGTGATGAGATGTTATGTGTTGACATCAGGATTGGGTCAATGGGGATAGAGGAACTCGAGGGCCCAGATATCGTCATTGAGGGTGTAACATGCGGAGGTCCAGTGCTGATGTAGTGCGGTTGCTCTGGGTTCTGGGCTGCAGGTACTGGGGGCTGAGGACCAAAGTGTCGTTTCAGGTGGGTTTTGACCTTATCCAAACATCGAATATAAACATTGCAGACATCCATTTTCACCTCACTCAAGTCTATGAGTGTTTGCTTTGAGAGACGTGTCCGGAGCTTTGTCAAAATGTTGCCAAAAATACTGAAAAGGTGTTCACATGAGGCCAAATTGGCGGAAACTGAAAGAAGTTGATGACAGAAAGTGATGAAAATTGGTGGGGTGCAGTGCGGAAGGCAAAATCCTTCAAGCACTTTAATAGGGTCGGGTTGGCGTCTCTTCAGAAAGGATGGCTGTGGTCAGCAGAAGCACCAAGAGTTGAATAAGAAGATTCGTGACTTACTTCATCCCGAGCGAGCCTTATCTCCTGATCAGCATCATGCCCCACTGTTTGGAAGTGTCCAGTTTCTGTGAGGAACTCATGCGCATGCTTTGTGAACTCTGTCGGTGGAGGTGTCAAAGATTTATTTAGACGCATCCATAAACGGCTGAGTAGGCTCTCAAGCCTGGTGACGGTCATGAAGGAGGCATTTTCTGAGAATGGCAGGGAGCAATAGAAGGGGTTGATAACAATGGCACTGATGAAGAGTTCTTGATCTGCTTTGCTCCATCGCAGCTCTAAGCTTGTAATAATTGTGTCGTGCCCCATGGGATCCTCATTCATGTTTAGGTACACCTTGAGGAGGTAGCCAAATGTAATTAGAACCTGATCGAGATGACAGAAGGAGGCCTGTGTAATGTTGGCAGCAATTGCAAGTGGCTCCAGATAGTGCTTGACTCTAAGAGATATTTCTCATGAATCACAAGTAGTCAAAAGATGACAAGAAGTTTAAGCTTACATGTTAGTTTCTGCCAGAAAACAGGGTTCTTGATGATAGCGATCATCTTTCTGGCCTTCTCCTGTGCTGCTTTGTCACCTGTAATCATGACTCACGTCAACTTGTTGTTGTTCTTGAGGTCTTCATCTGCAAGTTGTATCAGAATTGTGGCAAGTAGGAGAAGGCGCACAAAAGCCAAGAAATGAGCCATCCACCGTGTTATAACAGCTCAAAGGACCACATATGGCAGATAATGTAGGATGCATGTCTTGCTTCTCAACCCCTTTATGAGCTTGGTGGCCATCTCCATATATTCAAGAAGCCCTGACTGGCTTTTGAAAAAGTCGCCAACAATAAGGTTAATCTAGAGGAACAAAATCAGTGATAGCGTAGCAAATATTAGAGTAATGGTAACATACCTGATGTGCATAGCAGTTGAGGACAATGATGTGAGGATACTTGCATGCAAATAGGCGCTGGGCTTTGCGTGATTCCCCAGACGCATCAGTGACAAGTCCAACAACAACAGCCCCCCATTCATTTTGAAGAGTTGATAGAACTCTCTCAAGCTCGTCAAGAAGAACTTCAGCAGTTTTGCGCTCTCCCAAGGCATCGTGGACTTTGACAGTATGAACCTGACTCAACCATGAACGATCTCAAATCAGCAGTGCTAATTAAAGATATGTAAATTACAAACCTCCTTATCGCAAGTCACCATGAAGGCAATGAGATGGTGGTTGTTTAAACCAGTCCAACCATCTCCCTGTAGCGTCACTTCCTTGCCTTCAACCTTTGTCTTCACCTTCGTGCGTATATCATTGGCTAAGTGATGGAGACGATTTGTCAGCACCTTCCACATAACGACGGGCGCTTGAGGAATAAATTTGTCTCGGATTGCTTCCCAGACTGGATTCTTGACCCATGACAATGAGAAATCAGCTGAAGCGGTCAACTGGACAAGCATTTCCTCCCATTCCCTCTTTTCTTCTGGTGTCCAAGGCACTGGTTTCACCACCTGTGCACTCTGAATGACGGATGCTTTCTGCTTCCCCTTCTTGACATGCTGGCTGCTTCCTGCTTCGGACACAGAGTCCTGTGGGCTAAGTGAGCTTGTGCCACTGACCAGCGATCCTGATCTCGAGATCGTGGACATGCGGTCGTGCTGGGATCCAATCTGAGAGTTGCCTGAAGAGTATGGCTCTGAGGAATCTCCAGAATTTGAGGCCCATGTATATGGGTGATAGCGATTGTCAGCGGAAATGGAATGTCAATCTGGCCTGAGGTGTCCGTGTAACTGGAAAGGGGAGGGTCGCCCAGTAATATCTTGTGGAGGAAAATGGGCATCGTGGGGGAAGCCATAGTCTGTGTGCACAGTGGTGGAACTGTGCAGAAAGTGGCCACCTGAGGGACCAGGTGGGTAAACAGAATGTGAGGGGCCAGGTGGGTCATTGAGGGAGACTTCTCCTCTTGAAAAGGGGGAAGAAAGCTGAGGAATATCAACGAATGCACTCGGGTGTGCAACCTGTACAGTTTGAGGCAATTCAGATATTCCACATGTGGATTTGTGCTCCATAGCAGCCCTCTCATGAACAGCCTGTGGTTGATGAGTACACTTTCTGAGATGGTGTGTCAGGCCGCTCTTTGTTGAACTGAGGACTCCATCCACTCTGTCTGCCCACACTAGTTGATTTATAAGTTTATGTGTCAGAAAATTATGACTGAACCTACTTAGACACTCTAACTTCTTGGCACTTTGAGTGGTGGGCAAAGCCCCACTTGCAACCAAATCCTGTTCCTGCTGCTGCAGCTGCGTGAATGTGCTGTCATAACATCTTTTACACCAGACTTTAGACTTCCCAGAATGACCCGTCTTTGGCTTCCCTGAACTGCCAAAATAATGGAGCATTGGGTCACTCTTTGAGGTGGGGCAATCTCAAAAGTACTGCTGCCACCAGCCTCGGTTAGGTGCCACCTTGGGAGGCTCAGCGAGGTCAGAATCAGAGTCTGCCATGAGACGTGAACGCAGGCAAGTGTGAAAAGAGAGCCATGGTCCCTCAGGAACCACTGACAGACTTATGTGATTATCATGATACCTGCTAGAAGAATTTCTATTCACATGGTAAGCTCTATATTTATTACCATCTGTCATTTTTCCTGCCAGCTAAACGTTGAAGAGCACCAAAGAAGATGATACCAAGATACCAAGAGAAAATACAACCATTTTTGTGCGTCTCTGAAGGTCCTGCCGCCTATTGATGTAGACAAAGCAGGAGCTTGGCTAGATTGCAGCCCTCTTAGTATGGCAGCCATCTCACAGGTCACAGGCATAGGAGAGTCAAAAAATTTTGACCGTCATTGACCGTCAATTGACTCGGTCAACAAAATTGACCTTGACCTTGACTTTGGTATGTTGACCATCCAACACTGGTCGATGGACAGAAGAACAAGAGCCTTTTGTTCCTCGATAATTTCTGGTGGAGTATAAACAGGAACAGTGACAATGTGCCCAAATAGTGATCCCATTGCCTTTGCGACTTTGACTACTTTCCATCCTGCAGAGCGGGCAAGGGCCACCGTCTCCCCAAGTGTTCTCTCTTGCGCATTAAACATGACATGCATCTATAAAGAGTAAAAAAATGTCCCATAGTCGATAGAAAATCCATACCATCATGTCCATCCAATATACATTTGCACTCGCCTTGCCCAAATTCGGTAACAGCGGAGACGGGCCAGCATGCTCTCTGCACCTTCGGCGTCCTCCAAACCGCTTCCCTTTCCGCCTTGGCACTCGCTTAGGAGCTTGCCAGTCCCGGCTTCCATACGCTCGACCTTGTTCCGACAACCCTCTAGGGGAGAATCGCTATGATTTGCATGTTCAAGCGTAGGATCAAAAAATGATGCCCAAATAGGAGACCAAGTTTCCAATCAGGTACAACTTGAATCATGTGGCACAAATTTCTCCTTGTGTAATTAATAGAATAGAGTCCTCCGTCATATATCTTGTTGTTATTACTCAGTATATCGCTTCAACTGGTGAATGTGTTTCCCTGCTCCCTGACCAGGAGATGGTATCACAGCAGGATTCGCCCGTTGTCGCTGCTTTCACGTCTCCATTCACGCTACACAATTTGCATCTCCGTTCGATCCCTAGACTATGATTTCATGAAAGCACATTTGAGACACTAGCAGATATTAGAGGGTTGTATTGGGGCGCATAATAGACAACAAGCAAGCAGACTTCCAAGTAACTATTGGACCTTAATCTTCGAGTCCCCATTAGCATGAGCACCATTAGCATGAGCATTTTCTAGGTTCTTCGCCTTCTCCGCCTCTTCCAGTCGTCTCCGTGCCTCGCGGCGTTCGCGGCCGCGTGTAACCATCGGTTTGGGCTCGAGGTCGGCGAAGAGGTATTTGCAGATGACCTCGATGATCCAGCAGCCGGCAAAGTCGATGATCATCGTCAGTGTCAGACGGAGCTTGAACTACACGAGGGAAAGGAAAGTCAGTCAGTCAGTCAGTCAGTGGGAGGTAACGAGCTGTAAAGAAAACTGACCGAGTCCTCCATGACCACGATCTGCAACCACCTATTCAGCTCGGGCAAAAAGTCCGTCGCTCCAGAGAACGCGACCGCGCTGGCACCGAGCAGGCCGTACCACAGCGTCGTGTTCTCGCGGATGCCCTCGCGGAAGGGCCGTCCCTGGAAGTTGATCGTGAAGGTGGACACTTGCTGCGAGAGCCCGAGGAGGTAGATCGCGGTGTTCAGAAGGCTGGGCTCGAACTTGGCTTCGAGGTCGATGGGGCCGGGGCTAAAGGATGCGAGGGGTAAGTAAGATGGAGTGGAATGGGTAGCGGTGGAAGTGGAAAGAGGAGGTAGACGCACGCTTCGTAGATGTGAGAGAGGTTGGTGATGTAGACCAGCGACGCGATGTGCAGTGCGAATTGGAGGAGGACGGACAAGAGAACGTAGAGGTTGAAGATGTTCCCGAGCGGCCGTTCTCTTGACAGTTTCTCAACGGGCTATTGTCGCAGCGGGATGTGCATCAGCTACAATACAAGCCAGCTTCCAGAGGATGCGGAACGCAACGCACCTTGGCTCTGGAGATACACAAGAAGCAGACGGACATGAGCATGCCCGTTATCGTGACCTGGTAGTCACCAAACTTGATTCCGTCGAGGTACTGCACGCTCAGACTGTACGCCGTGATGAGGCAGTTGAGCGCGAGGATCTTGTACATCTGGATCGTCGCGACAAGCGTGCATCGGCCTTGGCGGATGATGTGTGTGACTGGACGGCAATTCGTTAGATGATACGGTAGGAAAGCCGTGAGTGGGCCGCAGTGACTTACTAGCAGCGACGTGCGAGAGCTTCGAAGTGAAAGGAGCGGCACAGGAGGCATCTCCGAGTTTGATCTTGGGAACATCCTCGTCGCCCTCCATGTCGGCCAGCTTGTCCGTAATAGACGCCAAATCGAACTGCAACCACCATATCTCAGCACCACCACCCGCAGAACAATCGCAACCAACAAACGCACCTTCTCCATCGGGTTCTTCTGCCTCGCCTGCGCCTGCTGCTCCGCCGCCCTCCTTTGCGCCTCCACCGCCCCCGGCATCAAATGCGCAATCGCCGCGGGCACCGGCGGCGGCGGCTGTCCAAACCGCGCACTAATACTCAGCTGGCTCTCATACACCTTCTTCACCCGCTCCAACCTCTGCCGCTCCGCGATCTTCTCCAGATCCTCCTGCGTCCCATCCAATAACGCCACCCCGATATGCGCCTGCTTGAGCGCGCCGACGTCGTTCGTCCCGTCGCCTGCCATGAGGGTTATGTAGCCCAGCGTTTTGAGCGTGGTGAGGATAGACTCTTTTTGGGAGGGGGAGACGCGCGCGTAGACGTAGGTGTGTTGGACGAGGAGGGCCCAGGAGGAAGTGGGGAGGATCTGTTTCATGGCGGGGCCGGTGATGCAGATGTCGTATGAGTCGAAGAGGGTGGTGTCGAGTGGCTGGTCGGGGTTGACGGGGATGATGGTGCGCTCGTCGACGGTGCGCCAGACGAGGTCTGAGGGGTTGGAGTGAGTTGTCTGTCTGGCAAGCATAGATTGAGGTTGGACGTACCCTTTTCGTGTTTGGCGTTCTCAGCCAGGTCAAGAATGAGGGCCTCGCGGTCGACGATCTCAACTTCGCGCGCGACGTGCACGGCCGTCAACGGGTTGTCGCCAGTAATCATAACGCACTATCCATTGCCCACATCAGCCTCCATCCATCCATCCACTCAACCCAACATCCATCAAACAAAACCACTCACCCGATGCGACGAATCCGCCAACATCTTCAAACTCTCCACCGCATCGCTCTTCAACGGACAATGAAACACCAAAAAGCCCGCAAACACCAATCCACTCTCCACCTGTCCCCTATGCAGCTTATTAATCTTCTCGCCACCCATCGCCTCCATCTCCTTCATCCCCAGCGCCAGCACCCTGCTGCCCTGGCGCGTGTATCCTTTGTAGACGTCGTCGTACCAGGGGGGTATGAGGGTGAGCATGCCCTTGAGCGTCTCGGGCGCGCCTTTGACGCAGGCGATGAGCCGCCCGCCTGGGAGGGAGGAGATGGTGGACATCCGTTTGAGGACGGAGGAGAATTGGAAGCGCCGCCGGATGGTGAGGGTGGTTTTGTACGCGGAGGAGGGGGCGGGGGTTATTACGTCGCCTAGTAGATGTTGAGCGCAAGGGGTATGATGATGAGTGGCAGAGAGGCACACCTTTGCCGAGGGTCCATTCGAGCGCGTCCAGCGTCGTCTTCTCCATTGGGTCTCCGACGACCGTCCCGTCGTCTAACCGGACGAGGGCATGCGCGGCAGCGAGACACAGTGTCGTCTCTCTTGACGCCTCCTTGACGCTGAGCAGTTTCTTATGATCGGTGTGGCTAAATCGCAAAACAATAAATACATAAATAAAGGAGTCAACGAGTCAAGAATGAGTATGGTAGAATGGAAAATGAGAGAGAGGAGGAGAAGAAGGAAGGAAACGCACTCGACACCCGCGACACCCTCCAGAACCAGGTTCTCCGCGGTGATAGTCCCGGTCTTGTCGAAGCAGCAGACGTCGACGCGACCTGCCGAGGGGATGCGGAAGGGCTCCGTGCAGAATATGGCTGTAGAGTCGCGTATATATGCATGAATACATAAGGTCCAAGTTTACCCATGTACAAGGAAGGAAGGACGCACCGAACTTGGACAGGGCGACGAGGGAGGCGTTGACGGCGAGCGAGAGCTCCATGGGCAGCTCGGGCGGGACGACGCTCGTGATGATGAGGATGCAGTCGAGCAGGAGCTTGGACTTCTTCAGGTCCCTCTCAATGCCTATACACATAACACATTAACACCACCGAACCCAAACCTCAGACACAGAGGAAGAGGAAGAGGAAGAGACCGACCTTTCGTCCACACATACCAGCTCGCAGCGATCGCGAAGATGAGGAGGAAGCCGATGAAGAGGAAGGACTCGAGGTTGTTCGCGGAGACGCGCTCGGTGGAGAAGATCATGGTGCGCACGAGCTGGCCCTGCGCTGTGCCGAACCCGGTGCGGACGACGACGCCGAGGCAGCCGCCGTCGGGTGTCTTGATGGGTGAGGCGATCTCCGCTGTACGAGGGTTGGGAGGTTAGCGTGTGGGATAGGAAGGATGGAAGGGACAGGCTGAAAGGGAGGACGACGGAGGACGGGGTGAAAGATGGGATCGAAGGATAAGGGACGTACAAGATTTAGACGCCTGCAGGACCTTGGTCCCGCTGAAGAGCACTGCGTTCTTATGCTGCCCGTCGACGTCGAGGTTCTCGTTCGGCTCGAGCAGCTGGATGGACTCTTTGAGGAGCGGGGTCGACTCGCCGGAGAGCATGGCTTCGTTGACGATGGCGGTGCCGTTGATAAGGATGATGTCGGCTGGGACGGTGGTCTCGTCGCCGACGCGGGCTGTTGGGAGGTTGGTTAGCTGTGGTAGGAGGCGAGAGGAAGGAAGGAGGGAAGGGAAGAGACTGACCGACAGAGACGACGTCGCCGGGCAGGAGTTTGTCGGTGCTGAGCACCTCCCATTTCGAGTTGCGGTAGCATTGGATGGGGTAGGGCTGGACGGACATCGTCCTGAACTCTGTGAGGGTCCTTACACGCTAATACCGCCTCAGTGAAACGAGCAGTATGGATAAAAAAAACCTATGACGTACCTGCCATACGACGGTGCATTCGAACACGATCAACATGAACAGCGTGAACAGACTATAGTACCAATACTCGTCGAGACACCACAGCGCGACGCAGAACACCTGGAAGACAAAGAACGGGGCGGTCGCATGCTCGCCAAAGAGCTCGGTGAACGAGGGGATGGGGATGTCGAACTCGTTGTCGCCGTACAGCGCCTGGAGCTCGGGGAGCTTCGTTTGTGTGAGGCTGGGCGGGTGGAGGAAGGAGCCGAGGGCGGGCTTGCTGGAGGAGGGATAGGCGAGCCGCGAGAAGACGAGGGGAGAGAGGGAGGTCAGGGCGTAGGAGTCGCGGTTGTAGGAGAAAGTCCAGGTGAGCGGGTCGGCGGGGTTCTTCTTGGTGAGTGGGACGATGTCGCCCTGGCCTTTGTGTGGATGGGGCACGAGGCGGATGCGGTTGGCGTCTTCGAGGGAGTAGGCCTGCGAACCGATAATATCAGCACACCAATAACGAAACGAAACAGAGACAGACGCACCCGATGAGTGGTGATCCACGCCCTGGCACCCGCGTTCCACTTCGTCACCAAAAAGCTGAGTGCATGCCCCGCACCAAGGGACACACAGGCAAGGAACGTCCACTCCTCGCCCCCCAGCCAGTCATCGTACTTGACGTAGTAGGCGTACGCGAGGAGGGGGTAGAGCGCAAGGAAGGGGTAGCCGTAGATGTGCTGCTGCCAGGGAATCGAGACATGCAGACTCGCCCGTGCGATTTCGGGCGAGACGACCGTGACGGAGGCCCTGTAAGGGGGTTAGTGGGTGGCTGGAGCAGGGGGGGAAGGGCGTACATTATGGCTCCTGGAGTGTAGAGAGGGTGGTTGGCTGGCTTGCGTAGAGCGAAAAGCCGCTCGCCGACGTGGCCGGCCCGTGTGAATGTAGGCGTCATGGTCATGCGACCTCGGCACTTGCCCTGACTTCAGCCGCGACGGCAAGATGGGATCACCCGAAAAAATGTACACACCACCGAAATAAGGTTCAGCCACTGATCTTGTCGCCGACGGTCACGCCCACCACCTAAGTCCGCCCACCCGCCCTCAACACCAGCGACGATGGCGAGTACCTCTTCCATGCTGCTCCTCGATTTAACGGCCATGCTCAACCTTTGACTCTTTGATATTCAACAGCCTAAAGAAATCCGCGACATCAAGCAGTTCATCAAAATCACACAGAGGAAGGATGCGTCCCGTGCGTTGCTTGCATGCTACTCCCCTCGACTCTAGGACGGTGGTATTAATGTTGAATGAATTTTCTTTTGTTGCAGAGGCACGCATAAAGAAGATCCTCTCGAAGGTCCCCAACGGCAAGACGCAGACCAAGTTCAAGGTCCGCTGCTCGAGGTACCTCTACACACTCTCGGTGGACGACCCGGAGAAGGCGGAGAAGCTGAAGCAGAGCCTGCCACCAGGTGCGTCCTCGCTCCGGCCTTTCTCTCATTCTACCATTTTCTCCTCCTTCTGCCCCGTCTGACTTCGTTTTATCCCAACTCACTTCGTGTAGGTCTGCTAGTCGTGGAAATCGACACACCCAAGAAGAAATAAACGCCCATCCCACCCCATACTTATTCTCTTTCGATAATGGTGTTGATGTTCTCGCGAGCCCTACTGGCCATGGCGGTCGTCGCAATGGTAGTCGGAGGAATCGCAGTCGCAGTAGCAGGAGGGGTCACAGGGGGAGGAGGAGAGCTGTATATGTATTAGACCTATGGTGCCAAAACTCATGCATGCATGTACCCCCATCGTTCGGAGTCCATGCCCTTTTTCACTCGCACTAGCACTAGCACTATGCCATCAACGCACGTCTTTCTTTTTTTTGGCTTTCGCGTTCACTCAGGGAGTTTCCTCCAACTTCGTTCGAGTCTTACTGCTAACGCGTTGTAGCCTCAGCCTCAACCAAACCCATTCATTACATTCAGCACAACAAAACACCCCAACACCGCACCCGTACCATAATTCGCAAACTTTACAACGCGCTCCTTCCACCTCTTCCTGCTCCTTATCCCTGCATACTCGTCTCTGTCCCTGCTCCCATGACCGGCTCCGCTCTCAAGCGATTCCAGATCGTACACGAACCCCTGCTCCTTGAACCTCGGGTCGAGCACGATGTCAAGGAAAGCGCGCAGGAGCTGCGTCCCGTCCAGATGTGGTAGAGGCAGGAGGTTGAAGAAGTAGAGCGAGAGGGTCGCTGTGAGGAGGTAGCTAGTAAGGTTGGATGAAGGGGTCATCAGTGCATGTTGGAGTTGGAGATGGAGGATAAGAGGAAGGAAGACGTACTCCCAGAACAGCTGCACGAGCAGAGGCACCCAGAGAGGGAGGAACGACGCGCGGGGGAGCCAGGTCGTTACTTGGACTATGAGAGTAAGAGAAAGGTTAGTTTCATTTGAACCAGAAGGAGCCATAGAGAGAACGAATGTGCACCTTCCTCCCACACCTCCTCTCTCGGCCCAGACCAGAGGACGACGCTTTCTCTTTCCTGTTCTCTTCCTCTCCTTTCTTCTTCTTCGCCTGCATCCTCGCCCTCTTTCTCCTTCTCCTTCTCCTTCTCTACCCCGACGCCTACCCCATCGTCCTTCGCCAACCCAGACCCAGACCCAGATAAAGGCACCTCCCAAACAGCACCAGGAGGCCGCACACTAACCCGCATGAGCTGTGCGCTCACGCGGGGCGCGACGCACGCTGACTCGGGGGGACAGTCGGTTGTAGACGAGCAGCGGTTGCGGTTGTTCGTTTTTGAGTTTGAGTGGGGTGAGGTGAGGATGGGTACGGGGTCGATGCAGCCTTGGATGAGCTCAGAGGGCGAGGGCGAGGGGGCGAGGGAGGTAGAGAGGGAGGCGAAGCAGGCGTATGGCGATGGTGTTCTGTTTGAAGGAGAGTTGGGGTGAGGGAAAGGGGGTTTGCAGCACTCGTCTGACTTTGCTGGGGACGATTAGTTGATTAGAACCCATGAAAGGACGAACAGAAAAGAGAAAAGAGTACGCACCGAGGACATGTCGTCCTACGCACCACCCCAAGGACGGATGGATGTGCGGTGTGCTGAGGAGGTACCGCGTCCATGTATCGTCTATATGAGTAGAGGGTGGTTGGCCGAGCGGCGTGTCGTCAACGCTGTGATGATCGACCCGGGTGGGAGGTGCAGGTAGAGAGGTGAGGTCTGGGGTGTTTAAACGCGTCAGTACGTATTTACTACTCGAGATACAATTGAAATTTAAAATAAAAGATTGAAAGTGGGGCGAGAGACCCACCTCAGCAACACTAACCACGACCCTCCCCACGCCCGCGACGTCCCGATAGCCCGATAGCGCGCCGCAGAGGAGGGGTAAGAGCCCGGAGCGGGCGAGCAGGAGGAGGAACGCCCAGAGGAGGATGTTGTGGAAGGGCCCTGCGGCGATGAGTCGGGCGCGGGAGAGGGCGGGGAGGGTAGATGGGGAGGGGGAAGAGGTGGCAGAGGAGAGAGAGGAGGAGAGGGAAGAAGGAAAGGAGGCGAATGCGGAAGGGAGGAAGAGCGTCAGGGACGCGCCGGCTGAGAGGAGGGGGAGGGATTCGCTGGACATTTAAATAGATGGATAGCTTTACTTTGCGAGAGCGAAATAGATGTAGAAGGCAGAGAGGGAGACTGGGGAGGAAAGGAAAGGAAAGGAAGAAGAAAGAGGTGAACGTACAGAGCAGCAGCGAGCGCGTGCCCGAGCTCGTGGAACGCCTGTGCGAGGAAGACGGCGAGCAGGATGAGCGGGAGGTGCGAGAGCGGGACGGTCACCCCGGGGATCTGTGTAGAGGGGCAGGGTTAGTGGGATTGGAGAACAGGGAGGGAGGGACGTACGATGGGTGTGATTTGGCCCCAGCTTGTGCTGGAGCGTGCGCCTGTGTGAGGGGTAGCAGGGGGTTGAAGAGGGTCGTCGAGGGACCTCTTCGTCAACCCCACCCCACCATCTCCTGCTCTTACTCCTGCCTCTAACCCACCCTTGCCCAACCGCCCCCACGCAACCCCAACACAACCCCCACACACGCAGCGAGCATCCCCAGCGCGCCGAGGACCACCCCGAGGTCGTACACCCCCTTGACGAAGGTGCGCAAGCGCCGGCTGCGGTCGGAGCGAAGAGAGAGGAAGGAGGTGAGCCGGTCGTGTGGAGCGTTCCACCGTGTGGTGGATAGGCGGAGGTGGAAGGGGGTGAGGGTTAGGGTGGTTTTGGAGTGGGAGCGAGATTTTGGGTGGGAGGAGGAATGGTGGGAGGAGGAGGGAAAGGAGGAGGGCCCGAAGCGGAAGATGGGGTTGGTGTTGGGGCCATTGGTGGTGGTTGGGAGGAGGGAGGAGTGGGAGGGAGAGGAACGGGAGAGGAAACGGTGAACGAGGTGGAGGATGCACCAAAAGGAGGCGAGCAGGAGGAGGGCGGTGCCCAGGGACATGGAGGTGCGGGACAAGGCCCGTGTGAGGAGGATTCATAGTGGCGCGTGTCTGTTCATGTAGTACGTCGTACGCAATAGGTTCAGGCGCATATACTCGCTTTTCCTTCTCGACCTCTCACTCACTCACAATATGTTATCACGCAGAACGCAGGTAAGGTATATTTCATGTTTATCGTCGTGCAACCCACGCATAGAGTAGAATGCAGGTGTTTACAAAACATTGCACTACTTTAGATACAGAAACTGCACCAGGCAGAATACTGGGGAGTTGACCGAGCGTATTGTGTTGCCTTTTCCATCGTGAACGTAAGTAAATGAATGTGAATGGCGTTGCTGTCTGCTGTCTGTGCTCGAAGTGCGTGCGCGAGCGTGGCGCGGTGGGTGGGTCGACGCTGCTTGTGATGTCGTCCCAATCTTCAACCAATAGTAAAAAGTCGAGCGGGGGGACACGTCGAGTTAGACCTAGACCATGTTAGTCGCCGGGTCCTGGCCGCGGGTAACGCCGTACGCCTGGTGGGGCGTGGAGAACGGGTAGGACGACTGGAAGCCGTTGTACGTCGTGACCTGCGGGTTCGTGATCTCGACGACCGTCGAGCGCGGGATGACGACCGGGTTCGCTGCATCTGCCTCCTCGTCCAGCTGGTCGACGTAGCGTTCTACGATGATGTATGCGTCTATCCAGAACACATTAGTCCCTTAACACTCCGTACCGACATAAGTAGAGGACGTACAGAGCTGGATGAGCCAGGTGATGACATACGCAGCGACCATCACGCCCTTGAAGATCGCCACCTCGCTCTTGCAGACCTCGACCTTGGCCTCGCCCGCGTCGGCGACAGAGACGCCGTTGAGGCACTTGGCGAGCGTGACCTGCGGGTCCTGCTTGAAGAGCGTGACGAGCGTGAAGATGCCTGAGGCGACGCTGAACCCGAGGTGCACGGCGAGTGCGATGGCGAAGGCGGAGGTGAGGCTGCGGTTCCGGACGAGGGCGCCGAAGAAGCTGGAGGGGGGAGGAGGAGGGGGTAAGTTTGGGTAAGGGGAAGGAGGGAAGGACGAGGGAAAGGACGAACCCGAAGACGGCAAGGAGGGCGAGGACCGTGAAGATGCCCGAGTGGATGTAGAGCGCAATCTGGTCACTCACGGGTAGGGGGTTTTCATCTGCAGGCCATGTCCGAGTTCGAATCGTAAGTTTTCTCTGCCCTTCAAAATCAGAAAGAAAAATGGAGGACGCACTCAGTTGCGAAACTTGAATCCAACCGATCGCAGCTACGAAGGAGCCCCCGATCATCGCGAACATCGACAGGACCTACACACCCATTCCCAATTTTATCAGCTACCGTTCCCTTTCTTTCTCCCCCATCCCCAACCCACGAAAAGAAAAGAAAAACTCACAAAGACCCCAAATCGCACCGGGAAGCAGCAGCAAAACTTGCGCGAGCGAACGTTCACCATTTTTCCAAGTAGATCCGGATGACGAGTGGAAGCAGGGGAGATTGGCAGTTACACTTGATCAACAAATGGACGGAGCGGAACGCAGTTCCTTCCTTTGGACGAGGGCGAGGTGTTCAACACGACGGTTCGGGCGCAGCCACGATGGGGGCCCATGGAGGGTTGGGAGGGGTTTATATAACCCCGGGAGCCGAGACGGAGACGGAGGTGCCCTACCAATCACCATCGCCACCCGGTGATGGCATGGCGTGGATGAGGGGATGATGCTGATGGGGATGATGGGGGCGGTGCGAGAGTAACTTTGAGCGACGAACATGGGCACGTACATTTTTTGACAAGAGCTGGAACTGGAGACTGGCGGTATGTGCGGTGAAGACAGATGGGGAGGATGACGGACTGCTGTCCTCCGTTGGAGGCTCCGGTTAATCTTGGAAGATCCTCTTCATCTAGCTTATGGGGCCGTGAAGCACTTGCCAATCCCTTGGCTCGGGTCGTCAACGTTCAACGGTCACTAAAACCGTCGCAGAGCACCAATCGCCATCTTGTGCGCTGAATTCAATGACCGCACGCGGGTCAGACGATTGAACACCAGCGAGTACCCAAATGGATGATCAACGATATTTATTATCTTCGACTCCGATGACCACTCCGTCGTGCTCTGAATCGGCCTGCTCTTCCGTTGCTGCCAAGAATAGAACGACACACTTCGAAGTTTTTTCGACGGCGTCGCGGGAGCCGTGGTATAAGGAAGATTGGACCTTCGGGCCTTTGAATATTCTGGGGAGTTATTAAGCGCTCAGCCTTCATCCCAAATGCCCCATATCCCTTACCTCTTGGTTCGGGAACAATACACGGACTATTTAATTTGTCGGCCAGAGGCGACTACTTGCGATTTTGAAGTTGAATGGCAATTTGTCCGTCCAGGCACTGCTGAACGATACCTCCTCGAAAGTTAGGAGGGACTTGCCCGACCTGGATTCGGGCCGTCGTCTTCGATTTGACACACCACGCTTGTACTTATATCATTGTCAAGTTTCTTTCGACTGGTGAAGACTCGCTACTTAGGTATTAGAGGCTCTTCGGCCAGACAGATGCAAGAAATGGTTGGGAAGATTGATGCGCAATTTTTCCGTGAAAAGGGCGCATTTTGGCCTGCGGCCTGGCCTTTGTGTGACCTCAATTGCAACCTGGACCCAAATGGGAGAGGGGTCAAGGTCGTTGTATTATATAGTGCGTATTACTCTTGTTGCAGACACCAGTTGTATTCACGTAGGCTCCATAGTCTGGTCTCCCCATTACTTCAGAGTTGTCGCAAGCGCGGCGAAAATTGAAATATGCACAATAGTTCCATCAATGACAGTCGGGCCTTTGCCATACAACAATCGTTTTCTGAAATTCGAGAAGACGCTGGACGGCCGTCATTGTCGGTTTTGGCATACCGGCATCCCTTAAGTATTATCTGGGTGCATGATGACTCAGTTTATCAACAGCGGCAACGAGTTTGCATGAAACAGGAAAAAGGAGACGCGCTCAGCCACGATTAATTTTGGGACCAGGTTGTGTCGCTTCGACGCGAAAGGAGGGACGTGGGCCCGTTCCGAAGTTCTTGCTTTCAACCGCATTTCGGCTGCCCGTCGGAGATTTTTTGCGCCTGGCGGGCATGCCACAGGCCCATAGCTGCGGAAAAAAATCGCGTCGAAACCCGCTGACATAAGATAGCGCTCTTCGACTCACCGTAATCGGAGTGGACAGGCGAACTTCCTGTGGTCCTCGATGAAGGCGTAGCAGGATGGGGAGTCGTGCTCTTCAATGCCGCTCGTCCAGCACGTGCCTTTCTTGTCCCTTGCTTACTTCAAGTTCCATCTCCCTCTCGGCGACGTCGTCTTTGCTCTCGAGACTGTACGCCGCGCTTTCTCACTTTCCCACCCAGCCTCGGTTGTTGGTCTGCACAGGGGGTTAGCCGCACGTTTCCTTCCTCCGTCAGGCCCGAGGGTTTGCCGGAAGCCCTGTCAGAGCTCAAGCCACGAGGCCTCCTCAAATGTGGACCAAGTCAACGTAATTATTTAGCTATCGGTGCCAGCATGGAATAAAAACCGAGGGGATTGCCACCGACGATGTGCCTACGGTGGGGTGGTCGTGTAGATAGAATTAATGTATGATGGCGTACCCAGATACCCGTATGAGAGGACCTGAAGTGCGAGAACGATCACGAGTTCCCGTGTTGCGCTGCTCTAACCAGGGAGGAACGTGGAATGTGTGAGATGAAGGTATTGAAGAACGAAGCGCCGCTGGATATGGCGCTTCACGAGGGCAGGCATCGAAATAGTGGATTTGGACAATGAGCAATGGCAGCTGGGACATACGAGGGTGATTTGGGACGAGGGTGGGAGGTCTAAAATGAACTAAAATCTCTGTTTTTCAGGAATGTAATTTTTTGATCGACAAGACTCAAGAGACAAAAGGGAACTGGCACGGAATCTCCGAGTCTCCGGACCGGGTAAAGGAAGAAAGAGAAATATAAATATCAGGAAAGGGTGACAAGAATGAAATAGGGCGGATGTGGTGACGATGATGATGGGAGGCAAGCACTCCTTAACAAGGCAAGAGTGGCGCAGCGATCGCCTCGGTTAAACAGGAAAGAGATGGTGTTGATCACGAGACGGCTGCACTTTCTGTCTAAAGTTCTCCTGGTCCGTCGTATGGTGCAGTGGAAAATACATACGTCGGCCAGTGAAGGAGACACGGGAATGCAATGACAAATTCCGAATAAGTTGTCTTCTTCTGGACTTTCTAGCGTCAGCGAATGGACCGACTCGTCACTGATCTACCTGCCCATCTTGATGAGCCACAAAAAATGACCTCTACTTGTACAATGATGTCTCCAACGTCCATGGTGTTTTGTTATCATGTTTAATTTCAATAGTTTTTGTTATTTATCTATTTATGTGACAGACACCCATCTGTCTATCAGATACCTTGCTCGAGATCCTCCGAAAAGCTTGCTAGTCCTGTACAAGAACAACTTATACAAACAGGTTGTAAACAGGACTCATGAATTTTACGGATGCGCACAGAAAGCCAATAAGTGAATTTGGGATGTCACGAGTTACTTGTTGGGCCTTATTGACGGCCTCCAATGGCGGCTGATCGATGATCAATGATTGCGGGCGCTTATCGTCCCTTCAGCTTGCCTACGACACTTCCAGTGAGTCTGAAGCAGAACTGTTCTATAGCATCTTATGAAAATCTGAAAACATGTCCAGACATGTCTATTCCAACATCTGCAGATGATAGTGCAGCATTCAGGGCAGATATTCTAGCCTACATCGGAAAATCCGCCCGTTCCATCGTCAGCGATAGCCGCACTCCAACTACAAAAACGATCAACACCTCAATATCATGCCTTGAACAAGCTATCGCTTTGATTCCCGACACTGATCCTGTCAAGGCAGAGCACTGGCACGATCTAGCAAAAGCCTATCGCGAGCGCTTCGAGATGCTCGGACAAGAAGAGGACATAACGAAGGCAATTACAGCACTACGAAAAGCATTAGAAATTGCTCCGAGTGGCAAAAGTAAGAACATCACCCTCTTCAATGATCTTACCAATGCATACCGCCTGCGATTTGAGCACAACAACTGCGGCGAGGAGATTCGAAACGGACTCTTGGCATCCGATGAGGCCCTGCTACTCTGCCCACCAAGCGATGAACAACTTCTCACCGTTCTAACAAGTCGTGGAAACCTCCTCCGTGCATTTGAACACTCTGGGAACATGAAAGATCTGGACACAGGAATATCTGTACTAGAAGACGTGGTCCAGCGTACACCACTCGACTCTGACGATCTCCCCCATCGTCTCCACAATCTAAGTAATCTATACTCTACCCGGTTCGAGCACTTAAATAATCGTCAAAGTCTAAAAAACGCCATTTCAGCTAGTGAACGTGCACTTGACAAAACCCCCTCGACATCCTCGATACGATTCCTATTCCTACAAAGCCTCAGCGCCTTCCACCTCGCTCGTTTTGAACAGGATAGTGATGCAGCAGATCTTGAGAATTCCATCTTGCTGGCAGATCAGGCGGTTCAACTCTCCCCACAAGGCCGTCCAGAGCAAATGTACAGCCTAACGAGTCTCGGTTACTCCCTCCTACGTCACTTTGAGTATTCTGGAAACCTTGTCGATATCGACAATTCCATTTCTGCACTGAAACGTGCAGATAGCCTACTTGCTCAGGGAAGGTCCAAAGCCATGTGCGTCAACAGTCTAGGACAAGCCAGCCTCCTCCGCTTCGCCCGCCTCAGCAATTTTGCCGACCTTGACACCTCGATCTCCTCTTTCCAGGCTGCCATTTCTTTAACGCCAGACACAGATGTTGCCAAACCCGCCTACCTAAATAACCTCAGTGGAGCGTTCCAAACACGGTTCACTCGCCTTTGGCGAAAAGCAGACATTGACAACAGCATCTCCTCCCTTGACCAAGCAATCCACCTCCTCGCAGATGATCACCCATTCAAACCAGGATTTCTGAGCAACCTCGGAGATTCGTATCTTAAAAGATACAACAGGCTTAGAGGCATTGAAGACCTCAACCTCTCTGTCGGAATAGAACCGAGTAGTTGGTACTCGGACATTCCGCCCTCGAAGAGTCGTCTCCCGACTCCTCGAGTACATTCTCGTTTATTTCCCTTAATGGACAATTACTTAGAATAGTATTTATTAGAATATTCTAGTTACTTTGTACGTAGGTATATAAGCCCTCTCAACGGGCGCTAAATGCTAATCGTGTCTTAACCACCAACCACCACCACTGCGCCAACAGGTTATGGGCCCCGAAGCCTAAACGACACACTTACCATCTTATTCGCCCTCTACTCCCACACGTTTATCTTATCTACATAGTTTACGTACATCACCGCCAAAATGTCGGACGATTACACTAGCGGATCGTATCGAATGGAGTTACTGAAGGCAACCAATTGGATGCCGTGGAAGCGCCGTATGCTTGCGGTATTGGTTGACCTCGGACTGGATGGTTACATCGCGGAAGGTGCAGCACCTCCAGGATCAGCAGACCCCAAAACTCCCACCAGTGCTGAAGCTGCAGCATTGAAGAAGTGGAAAGCCGGTGATGCGAAGGCGAGATGCCGAATCGAACTCGCGATCAGCGATTCCGAAATGGTTCACGTTATGGGAGCCGAAACGGCACGCCAAATGTGGGAACAACTTACCACGGTCAAGGAATCCAAGGGCCGACTCGGAGTGTTGGCCACCCGCCGAACACTATATCGGGCGACGGCGGAGGAAGGATTTGATATGGCAGAGCATATCGCGAAGCTACGCCAGTTGCAGGAGGAACTGCACACAATGGGTAGCAAGATCTCGGATGAGGATTTCGTCATGATCCTTATCACATCCCTTCCCGAGTCGTGGGATAATTACACTTCATCTTATCTCGGATCTAGTGGCAATAAGCCGGAGCTCAAATCTCAAGAGCTCGTAGCAATTTTATTGGAAGAATCCCGACGACGGAAGGAGCGAGAAGTTGGAGGAATGTCACTCCAGGCCAAAGGAAAGGCCAGACCCAACATTGAATGCCATAATTGCCACAAGATGGGGCATTATGCAAAGGACTGTTGGGCAAAAGGGGGAGGACGCGAAGGAAAAGGTCCGAAGACTCGAAAGGGTCCGAACCGGGCCGGCCGGACGAATCAAGCCAAAGAAAAGGTCAATGACGACCTTAACGAGGTTTCGTACATGGCTATTTCCAACACCAGTACAAAAGAAATCTCAAAATATGATTGGCTATTTGATTCGGGCACAACATCTCACATCTGCACGATGCGCGAAGCATTCATTGACTATCACCCGCTCAAGAACTCGTCTGTTCACGGCGTGGGTTCCCCAACAGTGGCACAGGGCCGCGGGACCGTATTAGTCAAATTTTCTGTAAACGGGAAAAACCTGAAGCATCGATTACGCGATGTCCTTCACGTGCCAGATTCCCCGAATTGTTTATTGTCCATGAGCGCACTCGATCGGAGTGGCGGACATGCAGAATTCAAGAATGGGAAATGTTTCCTAAGAGATAAAAAGGATAATCTCATTGGGATAGGACATTTAACCCATGATTTATACTTGCTCGAGGCACGAGCAGTATTACACGAGCAAGAGCGAGCAAATCTCGCTACCTCGGCAAAGCTCTCTTGGGACCAATGGCACCGACGGTATGGCCATCTATCAATTTCGTCCCTACAGAAGCTCGATCGCGAGAATTTGGTCAATGGCATGACCATTGATCAAGCTTCTATCCCATCAAAGACTTGCGAAGCTTGTATTCAAGCCAAGCAAACTCATAAACCCTTTCCCAAGGAAGCGGAGAATCGTTCGGAGACTCCGGGGGGAGAGGATAAGAG